TGCCCCAAGAAAGCTTTGGGGTGGATATGATTGAATACTGTCTCATAGAAGACATTTGCCTGGATGTGTGGGTATATGATTTGTGGTGACCCCAAACTTACTACAGAATGCATACCCGTAGTTTCTTATTTGTTACTGTCACTTGAGGTTATCACTCATTCATGAGCACTGAATAAACTTTTTAGTGCTTCAGTTTAATTAACTACAAATCCAAAATTTTGGATCCCATCCAAACTGGTGCCAAAGTTTTGTAGTCGCTTTGTAGGGTTTTTGTAGTGTGTCAACTGTAGAATATTGCCATAGATCTTGGAGGGGACAGTCCCCTGGTTAGGGAGATATATGACATGAGGCATGCCCAAGCTTCCTTTGAGGTTTCCAGCTGAGTTGTGTTTTAAACTTTTGTGCAAATAAGAAACTGAGAACTAATAATCAAATTCAGTATCATGTAGGAAATTGATTTCCAGGAGCGAATAACTGTTTTCAGTGACTCCTGTTAACTAATCCACCCTACAACCCAAAACATAATTGCTCGGAAGCAAACCCAGTTGATTTAAGCAAACGTTGCATTGAAATAAGTTAATTTTGCTAACAGTCTAAGACCAAATTCTAAAAGCATTTTTCTTAAGTATTTACCTAGGATAAGTGACATAAGGCTGCAGTCTACATTTCCATCACACACACACACACACACACACACACACACACACACCACTTTTACAGCCAAGAGCACAGCAAAGTGGTATTCCCTGCAGGGAGGGATTGATGGCATTCTTTTATGCCAGTGCCAGACATGTGAGTTTGGGTGTAATATATGTGTACTAAAATCTCAGGAAGAGCCCCCCTCCCACAAGTGATAGAAAGATTGGTGGGAAACCTCTGATCACTCTGCAAAACTGCTTATTTTACTGTTCTTATTTTGAGATTTTGCCCATTTCCTTAGGGGGACTGTCATACTCCACATGTCTCCTCCATCTGGGAGCAGCTGCTGAAGAAGCTTGAGAAAGTTTTTAGCTTGCAGCAAGGAGGAGAATGGCAACTAAAACCATCTGCAGAACTCATTATGCTGATAGCCATGACTTTTGAGTGGGCTCCAAGTCAAAGGTATTCATATTTATTCGGCAACAAGAAGCTGTTGTGAAGGAAGAGAAAACTGGATTTGAAACCCCAACATTGTGCTAAGGAATCTGCAGCATTTAATAGTATTTGCCTTATTGCTTTATTTTGCCTTTACAGTACCTCGAAGCGATGGGCTTTAAGGATTGGGTAGGAAGCAAAAATATTAAAGGGCTAGTTATATTGTAGCACGTATTCACAAGTTGTGGTTATACAACAGAATGTGATAAATTTTAAGAGCTGGAATGTGTAACTGTGACAAAATACTAGAATATGTCTGTTTTGTGAATTGAATCTGTAACCATCTTACCATCCTAGGGTCAAAAGTTCAGCCTCCTGGAATCTCAGGTTGTTTGTTCCTGGAATGTATATTGAAACCAGTTCTCACCTATTAAGTGTCTTTGCGTCTCCACTACAATTTGTGTCTTCCTGCCTATCTGGGTGGTAAGACAAACCCTTTTAATGAGACTCTTAAAAAGCATAACTGGACCTTATGCTCACTCACTTGGGGCAACAACAACAACACCACCACCCTCAAAGCTGTTTACAAAATGGTAAAAATAAAACTGAGAAGAATTAACAACCCTACTTTAAAACATACAAAAGTTAAAATACTAAAACAGAAAACAAATTACCTCAACTTTCTAAGCATCTGGGTAGGCTTGTCTATTCTTAACAGGACCTGAAAAGAATACAGTGAAGCAGCCTGCTTGATTTCAATAGGCAGAGGGTTCCAAAGTGCAGGTGCTGCCACACTAAACGATTGAGTTCTTACAAATGCAAAATGAATCATTTATGTCTCAGCCATAAATTCATACAAATGGTACACAGGTAAGAAGAGTCTGTTCCCATGCAGAATTGCAATGTCTCTTGAGTTTGTCTCTTGAGTTTGTAGTGTCTTGTATGACTCAGACTGCAATCCTTTATCTACTTACCTGGGAGTAACCTCACTGAACTCAATAGGACTTACTATTTATGATAGACATGTGTAGGATTATACTGTTAGTGTCCTCAGATTCTAGCTGCCTTCTAAGTGATCAACTTCCTAGTGATATATCACTGATTTCTTCCAGATGAATAAATCAAAGGAATTCCTCAGCTTTCCATCTCTATCTTCAACATTTAATACCCATGCAAATCCAGGCTGCAAACCTAAGCATGCTTTCTATGGAATAAAATCCTCCACTGAACACCATCAAACTTACTTCTGAGTAAACATGCATAGGCAGGATTGTACTGCACATGCATTAGTGAGAATGCTACTTCCTTCTTGCCTGAAGCTATGCTCTCTTGGCCTAAATAAGTCCTTTTTTGTTTAGCTGATTCTTTGCCCCACTGTTATTCACAGCTCTTCCATTTAGCAGCATTGTCAAACGTTCAGAACATTGCTTGATACAACATAGAGGAAGGATTGACAGTAGTTTGAAACGCCACCTAAATTAGATTTAAATAACTGTGTCTAAAGGCTATGTCAGCTTTACATCTGGCGGCTGCTGATCTGGTTCGGTATGAATGGATAAGGCGGTGGCAGCTACCAGAATTAATCTATAGTGACAAAATATGCTAGTCTCACTTGTGAACACTGAAAGGCAACCTGGAGGAATTCGGAAAGCCCCCTTTTCTGTATGTCAAAGAGAACATAGAGTCAAACAAACTAGATAAGTCTCAGAAGGGGCAGATCTTCCTCCATGGGATTGCTGTGGTTAGCAATACCAGGCTATGAAAGTAATTTAGCATTGGAGACTGTACCATTGCCCCTTGACCCAAGGGAGATCCTGTAATGGAGAATGAAATCAGGGAGGCATCCAAAGGAGAAAGTATTACACTGAACAAATGGCCTATGGCCATGCAATGAAGGGGCCAGGGCTAAAGATGTAGCCCCACAAGCGCTTTGAACACATGTCTACCCATCACACCAGTTAATGTCTCAGTAGGGCTAATGTATACTGCAGTATACAGGAGGTGCCAGCATGGATGACAAGCAGTGGTAAGGTAGGTATTAGAGGCAGGAAGCAGAGAGGAGGAATAATTGGACTGCTGCTGCAATGGAGAGATGTAAAGAGTATCCACAAGGATCTCCTCAGTCTTGGTAAACGGGCATTCAAATGGCAATTGTGGTTCGGTCTCAAGCTCACATAATGGGATCTGAACTGGCAGTTCTAACCAGGAGAACGGATCTTGGGCCAACACTGATTTAAAATGTTAGCAACTGAAAATAAATCTGTCAATGTGATAATGTTTTTAATAGAAATATAAGATCTTACCACTTATGGAATACTGTGTCCTGTCCTGATCACCAATCCTTAAAAAGGATATTGAAGAGCTGGAAAAGGTGCAAAAATTGGCAATGGAAAGAATAAAGGGGCTGGAACAACTCCCCTATGAGAAAAGGTTATGATATTTGGGGCTTTTTTGCTTGGGAAAAAATCTGAGTCAGAGGGGCATGATAAAGGTGTATAAAATTATGCATAGTGTGGAGAAAGGACATCTGATGTCATTCGATGAAGCTGAAGGGTAGCATGTTCAGGAGAGACAAACAATAGTATTTATTCACGCACTGCATGGCTGAGCTATTGCTGCCACAACTCCTGCCTGATACCCTGGAGAGCCATTGCAACTCAATGTAGACCAGCCTTTCTCAACCTTGGGTTCCCATATGTTGTTGGACTACAACTCCCATCATTCCTAGAAAACATGGTCAGTGGTCAGGGATGATGGGAGTTGTAGTTCAACATCTAAGGACTCTAGGTTGAGAAAGGCTGAACTAGATGGGCATGTGGTCTGAGATGGGATAAGGCAGCTGCCTACCTTCCTACCTGACTGGCCACTGTGGAAAACAGGATGCTGCTCTAGGCTAGCCAGACCTTTGATCTGATTCAGTAGGGATGAAGTTTTTATAGGAATGTCCTGCTAGCCCAAAGGTACAGTTGCCAGTAATTATCTGCCAGCACGTATCTCATGGGAAACCAGTGGTTTATAGTGGGTACTGTGTCAAAATAGGAGATTCAACCCTACTCAAATGTGAAGCTTAATAGGCGATATTGGGCACTGTGTTTCAGTGTAACAAACCTTATATGCCTGAAGTGAGGGTATTTTTGAAGTTTTCCCCCTTTCGTCATTTGAAGGGGTTGCAATATCCAAGTGTGTGTGTGTGTGTGTGTGTGTGTGTGTGTGTAAATGCCTATGAGGGTACATCAGCCTCTACCAACGAACCCTGGACTTTGTGAAATTCCTTTTAATAGGGAAACCCTGGAATCCTTCCAAGGACATGGGCTTATCAAGTCGGATGACTCTTCTTCCAGTTCCGTGGTAAGCAATGAAAGAGGGGGAAACAAGCGTTTCTACTACTTTTGCTATTCACTCCAAACTCCCTATTTGTGGATTATGAGCGCTTGTACTTCTGGACGTGTAAACACCCCAGGAGTGAATTATTTGGTGTTCTTTGTCAAGATCCAAACCTCCACTCTTTTCAACTGTCTGGGTTGGGTTTTTTTGTTGTTTTTGTTTTTTGAGGGGGGGCTTCTTTTCTTTTCTTCTTGAACAGCTTCCCCTTCTCCCTTTGATGCAAGGGCAGAGGAAGGAAAGAAACAGTCTCACTTCATTTTACTGCATCTCAGATGTTGCAAATTAAATAATAAAGCCCTAGAAGGCCGGGGTGGGGAAAACACACACACAGAGAGTAAGGGGCGGACAATTGACCTCTGCACCTAGACACATGGTAGTGGTTGTCCAGCCCCTCCCCCTTCCCCCCATCGTATCCTTGGCAAGGTAGGGGTGGGGGCAAAGGAGAAAAAAGAGAGAGCGCTAACTGTATAGACATATGTCTCAGTGCCTTGCTGCGCGCATGCGCGCCGTTCCCCTTTCCCTCCCCTCCGCTCCTTTGCCTTCTCCAACCTGAAGTTGCCTGTGGAGCAACTTCATTCGGGGCTCCGGGCGCTGCTGCAGCTGCAAGGCAGACGATGGCACCTTGGCTGAAGTTCTGCTCCTTCTTCTTCTCCCTCACTGCCTGCTTCGACGGCCCGAGGCTGGCCGTGTCCGCGGGAGGGACCAGCGGCAGCGGGGGCAGGAAGGGGCCAGCGGGAGATGCTTGTGGCTGGAAGGTAAGAGAGAGAAAGAAAGAACAAACGAAAGGAAGGAAGAAAGACTCTTTTGTGTTTGGCTTCTTTTTTACGCGTCGGCGGTGAGGTGACTTGAGCAGGCTTTTCCCCCGGGGCTCCCTTTGCTTCCTCTCCCTTCTTGCACGAGTTAGCAGAACTTGGGGGGAGAGGTGCCCAGAGGTCTGTCAGGAAGCGGGTGCCTGGCGGGGTGGGCTAGGGATGAAGCCCTGGAGCTCCGCGTGCCGACGAGCTTGCAGGTGGCGCGTCTGGGCTGTTGCACGGGCAGCAGCGTGCAGTGCAACCTCGCAGCAAAGGGCAGCGGGAGACATTTCTGCAACGGGGGCAGCAGCTCCAACCCTCTCTCTTTCTCTGCCACTGAGTACTTACTTTCTCTCCTCTCTCTCTCTCTCTCTCTCTCTCTCTCTCTCTCACACACACACACACACAATATCACATCTCTCTCTCGCCCCCTCTTCTTATGCGGCCGTTGCTTTGAAGCGCTGGCATTTCTGCAACTTTCGGGGATGGCTCGGTGGCGGCGGAGGTTGGCTGGATTTTCTCACCAAAGGAACTCGGGGAAGGAGGAGGAGGAGGAGGGAGGGCGGCCGAGGGGAGAAGCCAACAAGTGGGAAGTCACTCAACAGGTCTTTTATCCCCTCCGCCTTCCTCCCCCCTCCTTAACTAGACCTGCCCTGGGAGAGAAGGGATAAAAGGCGATCGCTTGGGCTTTGTTATTTTAATGATCGGGGGCTGGTTTGGCTACAGGCCTAGTCATTAGACCGAAGGGGAAGCGGGGGAATGGGTGTGCTTGTAAGGTGATAAAAGAGTGTTTTAGGGCTTTACCTTTTGTCTCTGTTAGCAGCTTTTGCTAAGTTGCGAAGTTTTCTCTACCACCCCCACCCCCTTGGGTTTCCCGAGTGTGATTTGTTGTTTTATTTATGGAAAGAAAAAAAGGACTTCTGCAACGCTTTTTGGGGATTTCTCTCCCCCCCCCCATTCCATTTTCAGCCTTATTAAAGATTCCAGATGAACGCTTGTCGAAGGGCATGAGTGACTTTCATTGCCTCCCCCTTTTTGTTAGACTGTCACAGAGATTTCCTTGGATTCAGATCATAACATTGAGTGAGGGGAAAAGTTAACAGCAACCACAACAAAAAACCAAAAACTGGTAGAATTTGTAGCGAGTAGTTGTATGTGTGCTTACAGGAAAGGGCAAGTGTCCACAAAAAATACTTTAAAGGGGGGGGGGAAGGAGTACAAAAGAAGCCAAACGTTTGCAAAGAACTTAACTCTCCAATGGGTATATTATTTGCATCTTGGATTTTGTTAACTGATAGGTCCTGTAGGAAAATGCATTCAGCTGCTGCTTCGGTTTAGTGTTTCACATAACAAAAGTGATATTTGATTTGCATATTTTAAAGCTGCACATACATCTGGTTCTGTAGGTCAACAGCACTAGCTTTTTAAAGGCCATAATGCTTGACTGATTTTGGTTTGTTTGTAATGGATATTCAGTGATCTGACAGGAAGTGAATTTTCTGATAAAACTGAGGCAAGAAAAAAACATTATTCATTTAAACCTTTTTTTTTTAATGCACCCTTTTGTAGATTTATGATACGGTGTGGGGGGAAACCTGACACGTTTTGTACTGTTAGAACAAACTTAAGGTTGTAATTTGCTTTTAAGCACTGGGATCTTTAATCTGTATGCCAATCACTTATTGGAATACATTTGTCTCAGATAATGTAAAATGTATACAGACCAGGAGCCTGCAGTTTTTATTCTGGGGGAAAAGTTTTAGGGACTACACACAGAGAGCTTTTCCCAAGCATTAACTGCAGGATAAGACCCATTGTCCTGTTTGTGTATCTTGGGCTGTATGTAAGTTTTGAATAGACTTGACATACTATTAAATGACTGATGGCCCCTGTAACACATTGTCTGCTCTGGGGCAAGGCTGCCTTTGAAGTGCTACCCTGTAGGAAGTAAAAAGACTATTTGCTCTATTAAAATTCCTTGGTATTTCCTCTGTTTAACCACAGGCCACTTCCCCTCTGCCACTCTAAACACTGCAGGGACACTGACTGATTGAAAAGGCACAAGCCCTGAAGTAATTGCATCCCATTCAGACAGATATTCTTAGTGTAGCTTATTTATAATGAGTTATCGTAGAAATGAAAGATGGGTACAATTTTTTTTCTGCCTTCTTAAGAAGGGAAAACAAAAATAGGCTCATTGACTTGCACAAATGTTCTCAGGCTGAGGATTGTGATATTTCTTTAGTCGATTATCTGTTGGTAGCTTGTAATTCAACCTTAAGTTTGTTTATTCAGAAGTTAAGTTCCACAGAGTGCCCTGGGAAACGTCAAAGATGGTAAAATTTAATAAGAGTATAAATATTTGTAGGCTAATTATGGAATAGCAAGTAGCATTCAGAGTGTGAGAGCATCATTACTTTGATATCATAATAAGCATGTTTTTCAAATTTCCAGTTATAAAATTTAATGTTGTGCATAACTTAAAATAATACCTTACAAGGGGGGAATATCTTATGGGGGGGCAGACGGCAACATTTTTTGCTGTGGTGGTGAATAACTGAGGTCACTGGGATTTAGAAAGTGTGTCTATGCATATTTAAGAAATAACAAGCCCCCTCCTTGAATTTGGTGAGACTTACTTCTAAGTAAGCATGAAAAAGATTATGCTGTATGTTGTATTATAGCTATTGGCTAATTAAAGCTGTGGGGGGAAATTATGACGACCTTTTAATAAAGATTAGCTGCTGTTTCCAGCAGCTTAGTCTAAAAGATGATAGGGTAGAACTGAGCCATGATGTGAACTTGCCCATTTTTGTTCTTAAAATACGATTTCTTATTCTTAACCAACCAGTATCTATCTATCTTATTATGTTTTATAGCTATTTAGTGGTTGTTTTTTTTTAATTTTGTAAGCTGCCTTGATTTTTTTTTATAGAAGTGCAGATCATAAACATTCAAATAAATAAATAAATCATAAAAGGAGTGCTTGCCAATGACTGGGACATTTTACTATGATACAATAAATATGACCGAAGAGTAAAACATCACTGGTGATTGACTAAAATAATTCTTCTGGATTTGAAAGCTAAAAATAATGTACTTTTTGGGTTGATTTATGTCGAGTACAAAGGGTAATAGGCATGAGGACCTTTAAACTAATACTGTACTAGTGAGTTGTATCCAGTGCTGTGTTAGTAGAGTTCTGCTCACGCAGTGGGCTTCCCCTTCCTCTCCTCTCCACATGAACCTCAAAAACTGCTCCAGAGGGGCCCTCCATTCTCTGGCGCAGATTTTGAGCATGTGCAAGGGAGCTGCAGAAAACAGAAGGGAGAATGTCCAAGGGTAAGTCTGTTGCACAATGGAATGGCAGCATTGGATACAACCAATTGTGTTGTGGTGGAAGAATAAAATAAGTGTTGTGTATTATTTTATCAGTTGTATCACTTTTTAGTGTATCCTCTCTCTGGGAAAAAACTCCATTTTTTAAGTTTCTAGATAAAAATGTCTTTTGTGAAATTATGAGAGCACCTAATAATTATAATATTCACTAATGCTATTAACTAATTAATAATAATGATAATAATAAATTTTATTTATACCCCGCCCTCACCAGCCAAAACTGGGCTCAGGGCGGCTAACAACCAATAATAAAAGCAAGTTGATTAAAATACAACTTAAAAACAACATTAAAACATTAAGATGCAGCCTCTTCACAGGAGGAGAAAGGAAAAAAGAAAGAGGGGGAGGGAATCAAATTGATTCTAAGCCAAAGGCCAGGCGGAACAACTCTGTCTTACAGGCCCTGCAGAAAGAAATCAGATCCCACAGGGCCCTTGTCTCATGAGACAGAGCGTTCCACCAGGCTGGAGCCAGTGTTGAAAAGGCCCTGGCTCTGGTTGAGGCTAATTTAACTACCTTAGGGCCCGGGACCTCTGGGGTGTTGCTATTCATGGACCTTAAGGTCCTCCGTGGGGCATACCAGGAGAGGTGGTCCCGTAGGTACGAGGGTCCCAGGCCGTGAAGGGCTTTAAAGGTCAAACCCAGCACCTTAAATCTGTCCCTGTATTCCACCGGGAGCCAGTGCAGCTGGAAAAGCACTGGGTGAATATGCTCCCATGGCAGAGACCCCATGAGGAGCCTCGCTGCAGCATTCTGCACTCGCTGGAGTTTCTGGGACAGCTACAAGGGCAGCCCCGCGTAGAGCGAATTACAGTAGTCAAACCTGGAGGTGACCTTCACATAGATCACTGTGGCCAGGTCGGGGCGGGAAAGGTAAGGGACCAACTGCTTGATGCGGCAAAGGTGGAAAAATGTCGCCTTGGCTGTTGCTGTAACCTGCGCCTCCATGGAAAGGGAGGCGTCAAGGATTACACCCAAACTCTTAACGGAAGGCAATGCCACTAATTGGGCCCCTGCACTAGTTGGTCCCTCATCCCCATACCATCCCGACCCAGCCAGAGGACCTCTGTCTTCAAAGGATTTAGTTTCAATCGGGTCCCATGAAACCAACCAGCCACAGCTTCCAAATATCTGGTCAGTGTGTCCGGGGCCAAGTTGGTATGGCCATCCATCAGCAGAAAGAGCTGAGTGTCATCAGCATATTGGTGACAACCCAGCCCAAAGCTCTGGACAATCTGGGCAAGGGGGCACATAAAGATGTTAAAAAGTATCAGGGAGAGGATTGTGCCCTGCGGCACTCCACACACCAAGGAGTGGCGCAACAACATCTCCCTCCCTAGCGCCACCCTCTGTCCCCAACCAGAGATAAAAGAGCACAGCCATTTACGGGCTATGCCCTGTATCCCCACGTCGGCTAGGCGGTGGTCCAGAAAATCATGATCGACCATGTCGAAGGCTGCTGACAAATCTAAGAGAATCAGCAGTCCCGACCCACCTCGATCCAGTTGTCTACGGAGATAATCTGTTAGGGCAACCAGAGCCGTCTCGGTCCCAAAACCAGGACGGAACCCAGACTGAAATGGATCAAGCCATCTAATTAGGGGTTTAAGTCATGCAAACAGATTTCTACTATCACATGGTTTAATGTTTACTGCAGCTGGGGATATAGCGCCCATGGATGCACATATATTTCTTCTTTACTGTAAGCAAATTGTAGAACACTGCATCAGGAACACCAGCTGCGGCAGCGCCAACCATCTGCTGGGAAGGAAGGATAAGTTCAATAACTTGGTATCCCACAAAAAGTGGTCCTAGTTAATAACGGTACTGTTTTGTTGTTGCTAATGTCTTGTGCTTCGTTCATGATTTGGGGGCAGACAAATTAAACTTCAAAATGTAATAGTAACACCACTTCCAATGAAGGAGAGTCTATAACCTCCCAAGGGAGTCTGTTCCGCTGTTAAACAGCTCTCACTGCCAGAAAGTTCCTACTGATATTTAGTCGGAATTTCCTTTCTTGTACGTTGAATCAATTGGTTCGGATCCTAGCCTCCACAGCAGGAGAAACCAAGCTTGCTCCACCTTCCATGTGACAACCCTTTTGATATTTGAAGATGACTATTATATCGCCTCTCAGTCTCCTCTTTACCAGGGTAAGCATACAAAATTCCCTCAATAAGGTGCCATCCAATAATCTTAGAGATTCTACTCCAGATTTGTGTAGGGTTTACTTCTTAGCTTTTTCTTCTCCTGAAGATATTCTGCAAGCCAGTGGAGGTTTAGGATCAGAGTTTTCCTTCTCCTAGATGGCTCACCTTCCCAGGTTGATGAACCCCATCTGCCCCTCTATGGCAGGTGCAGAAATTGCCTTCTTGATTGTTGGATCCGCTATTGGTCTCATCCATGAAGTGTTAGTAATCACAGCATCTTTTTCTAAGTGTTTTCTTATGTGTTCTAAGACCTTTCGTTGTATCAATGTCAAGGTGACCAGTTGGTAGTCACCTGGGTATTATTATTATTATTATTATTATTATTATTATTATTACCCCGCCCATCCAGCTGGGTTTCCCCAGCCACTCTGGGCGGCTTCCAACAAAATATTAAAATACAGTAGTCTGTTAAACATTAAAAGCTTCCCTAAACACGGTTGTCTTCAGATGCCTTTGAAGATGGGGACAACATTTGCCTGCCTCCAGTCCACAGGGACCTCACCTGTTTTCCAGGAATTCTCAAAGATTATAGAAAGAGGCTCTGAGATTACATCTGCAAAATCCTTTAGTACTCTTGGATGCAGCTCATCAAGTCCTGGAGATCTGAATTCATTTAAAGTAGCCAGGTGTTCCCTTACTACCTCTTTTTCTGTCTTTGGTATCCCTCCTGGCATTGTTTATTCTGTTAGCTTCCAGTTGGACACTGCTTTTCTTTTCCATGAAGACAGAGGCAAAGTAGTTGTTGAGCTCTCTTGTTCTTCCTCTTGCTTTTGCTCCTGGTTTTTTTTTTAAAATGATGCTATTTTCTAATGGGTAATTAATAACATTTATTTTGGTTTTGTTGTTTGTATGTTCCTGTTCCTGTAAGCAATTTTGAATTTCTTCAGGGGTAAAAGGGATATAAGTTTTTCAATAAAATAAATTAAGAATTTGCAAGCCCAGATACGTCTTCTAGTTTTTTGTGTGCAACGATCTTTTAACATGCAAACTTCATTGTGAATATTGTAATTATGACTTCTGATGGGAGTGGAGCTATAGAGTGATAGAAAAGGCACACCCAAATATATACCTCCAGTAGGCTTCATTAAACATGGTCCTGTTTCAATGATCAAAGGTAAAATTGGTTGTGTTTACCTGATATTAGGATCCTAGTCTTGCCACTCCTTAAACTAACCATAAGATCATTTTACTTCCACAGTTATGTTTAGTGACTACCTGGCATGAATGCACTATTGTGGATTCAATGTGGTTCAGCTGATTTTTTCCTTGATCTACTAAATGCCCACTCTCATGTCTTTAAGTTAACACCTTACATTAGAAACCTGACAGCACCAAATTATCGAAGGTTATTCACCAAAGCCAGACTAAATGCTTTTCCTTCTGCAGTGTTGGATGGCAGGTTGAGAGGAGTTCCCTACCAGGACAGACTTTACTCGTCTGTAAAGCACTTAAAAGATCCTATTATTTAAAAATAAGACAATGAGCTTGACATGTCTTGTCATTACTATTGTTGTCCTTTTCCCTTGAGGGAGCCAGTGTGGTAAAGTGTTGGACTAGGACCTCGGAGACCACAGTTCAAATCCCCACTCAGCCATGAAGCTCACTGGGTGACCTTGGGCTAGTCATAAGAACTTAAGAATAGCCTGTGGGAGGCAAATAGCCAATAGCCACCCAGTCCTGCACCTGGTTCTCACAGTGGCCAATCAAATGCCTGTGAGAAACCAGCAAGCAGAGCATGAACACAAGAGCACTGTCCCCTCCCATGGGTTCCAGCAAGTCCCTGATTCTCAGCCTAGCCTACCTCACAAGGTGGTTGGGGGATTAAATTAGGTGTGGGAGATACAGGTATGCCACCTTGAGCTCCTTAGCTTAAGAGAAAAAAGGGGGATCTAAATGCAATAAATAAAATCTTGTCCCTTCTAGATTTGGGGTGGATTCCCCACCCCCACCCCTACAGTTTAGTAAACCGCTGACTAGGATGTTGCAAGCTTTTTGCCTAGTGTGGTGTGAAGGATAAGTGACTGCTTCACATCTGGCGTCAGCCATGAACTTACAAAGTGTAAGTTTGTAATGAGCCTGCCTCTATCATTCTCAGTCCTAGTATCAGTAATATGGGAAATAATACTGACTTCCTTTATAGGGTTGTTGTAAGGATTACAAACAGATAAATGTACTTTCAGGTACATGGAAACGATATGCCAATGTTAAGTATTGTCATTACTACTGCCACAACTGTTATTTACTTCCTGTCCAGGCTAAGGACAGGAAGCTGAATTGTGGGATAGTAGACAAAGCAGTGGTAGAATAGTATTAGGCTGTTTTCCAGGCTACCACAAACTCTAGCATCAGTTGTTGCAATTGATATTTATTGAATTTTCAAAAAATAACAACAAAAATTTCCAAAAAAATAATAAAAAAATTTAGGATACAAAAAACAAAAATAGTGCATAAACAAAAAAGAAAAGAAAACCCAGCCGCAAAGAAAGAGAAGAAAAAAAAAAAAAGAGAAACAGAAAAACAAAAATATAAAGTCCTTTACAATCTCTATTGACTTCCTTTCTAGACTTCCTCCTCCTCCCCTCTTTAATCCTTTCTGTTTTTTCATAACAATCTGTCATTACGTTTCCTTATTCTATTTTCCCTCTTGTCATATAAAAACTTTAAAACTCATAGCTTATATTCAATATTTACCAAATTCTTGCATCATTACCTTTTACGAATCATTTACCAATCCTTACTTAAGCCATGTAATTTCATTCAACATCCTTCAAACATTTGTAAGCATTCCCAATATTAAAAAATGAAAAAGAAAAATTAATAAGTCAAATTCAGTCCAGTCAGCTTCCAACCTCCCCTCCCCTGGACCCGGGATTGTCAGTCCTTTTAACCTCCCTTAACCTGGTTGTCTCGTATCCGAGGCCCTCAAGTCTCTTTCTTGCCCCTTTCGCCACTCTTTTTTTTTTTTTATTAAATATTTTATTAAGGATTTTCTTGTTTTACAGAAGTAAGTGTACTGCCTCGTATATATTTTTTTTCATGTAACATTTTTACAAATCCATTTCATTTGTTGAGGCATTAGGGGGGAGAAGAAAAAAAAAGGAAAAAAGAAAGGGGGGTGGAGAGAGGGAAGATGGATGGGGGTGGGGTCGGGTGGCGGTGTTTCTATTATGTTTAATGTATGTAGAGTTTGGTGTCAGCGTTGCTTGTGTTGTTCACTTGTGTTCCTTTCGTGGTGAGAGAGGTTGGGGTTGGCCTAGGGTGTGATTGTCTGCTTGTGATTGGCTGTGGTGATCTTTGTTTTCGTGTGTGAGTGAGGTGGGTGGGTGTTTTGGATCAGGTTAGCCATATTGATTTGTATGCTGTTGGTGGATTATTGTCATTGTCCTGTTGGGCTGTGTATGTGATAAATGGAGCCATACCAGGGTGAAGACGTCTTCTTCTGTTTGTCCCCGTGTCAGTTTCAGTTTATTAGTTAATTTTTCTAGTAGGGCTGTTTCCCATACTATTTGGTACCATTGGTCCATGTTTACTCCTGACAGGTCTCTCCAGTGTCTGGTTATGGTGTTTCTGGCTGCTGAAAGTAGGTGGGTTATGAGTTCTTTGTGGTGTAAATGGGCATTGTTGTCTTGGAAGATGTTTAGTAGGGCCAATTCTGGGGTGATGTCTATTACTTGCTTAGTTATTTTACATATTTCTTGTATGGCTGTTGTCCAGAATAGTTGGATTTTGGGACACTCCCACCACATGTGGAGGTATGTGCCTGTGGAGGTGCACCCTCTCCAGCATTTTGGTGAGGTTCCTGGGTGTATTAGCGCTAGTTTCCTTGGTGTTAGGTACCACCTGTAGGTGAGTTTCAGTGTGAGTTCTTTTCTTTTCGTTGATATGGATTTAAAGGGGGTTTAGACCACATTCTGGTCCATTGAGTGGGGTTAATCTCATAGCCTATGTCATTCTCCCATTGTTTTTTGATTGCATCTAGGGATTTGCGGGATTTTGGAGTAGTATTTTGTATATTGCGGATACCGTCCCTTTACCGTTTCCTTTTGTTGTTAGGAGGAGGTTTTCGAAGGTTGTCAGGGGCCTAGTTGCTGCTGATTTTACTGTTGGGTTGTTTAAGAGGGCATGTAGTTGGTGTTGTGTTAACCAGGGCATTTGGGTGTCTTCTAGTTTGTCTTGTATTTCTTGTGTTGACAAGGGTTTGTTATTTTTATAAAAGTCTATTAGGCGATATAAGCCTTTGGTTTGCCAGGTTTTTATCTGGAGGTTTTGTGCTGCATGGTGGAATAATGGGTGGTACGCCAGGGGGATTAGTGGGGATGGGGTTGGGGATAGTTTGCCTATTTGTGTTTTCCATGCTTTGAGCATGGTCTGTGTGTACCTGTTAAGTGTTGTGGGAATTTTCTTTAGTTTGTTTGGGAGGAATGGGTATGTTGTGGTGCAGGTATTTTCAATTGTGTCCCTCTCTAGGTGTACCCATTGTTTTGTCTCATCTTCTAGTATATATGGGATTATATGGCGTATTTGGTTGGCATTGTAATATGCTTCTATGTTAGGGATTCCCATCCTCCTTCTGAGGTGGGGAGGTGCAGGTATTTGAGGCTTATTCTTGGTTTTTATGTGAGAAGATGAAAGAGTGTAGTTTTCTCTGCCAACTGCGAAGTTGGGTTGAGGGATCCAGATTGGGAGGGTTTGGAATAGGTAGGTTAGTTTTGGGAGTGTGATCATTTTGATCATGGCTATTTTGTCTGAGAGAGTGAAATTCATGTTATTCCATCTCTTTAGGTCTTTGTTAATTTGTCGCCACAGGGGCTTGTAGTTGTGGAGGTACAATTTATTGAGGTTTCTGGTTATTTGTACCCCTAGGTATCTGAACTTGGTGTGGCAAAGTTTTATTTTGGTGACCTTCGTGAGTTCTTTTTGGGTGTGAGGAGGGGTGTTGAAGCACATAGCTTCTGACTTTGTAAAATTTACCTGTAGGCCCGACACCATTGCAAATGTGTTGAGTTCTCTGATTAGGGAGGTTGCTGTGCTTATGGGGTCTGGTGTTGTGACCATTAGGTCATCTGCAAAGAGCCCTAATTTATAGGTTCTGCCTTTTATTTCCACTCCCTTGATGTCTGTGGCTGCTCGGATGCTGATTGCTAAGGGTTCCAGAGCCAGGATAAATAAGAAGGGAGACAGTGGGCATCCTTGTTTCAGTGCCTCTTTGGATAGCTATAGTATTAGAATCCATATTGTTAGTTCTGCATTTTGCTGAGGCTTGGGAGTATATTTGTTTGAGAATTTGTAGGAAGTTGGGGCCAAATTTCATGTTAGTTAGTACTGCTAATATGTATTTCCACTCTAAGCAATCAAAGGCTTTGAGGATGTCTAGGGACATAATTGTCAATGGGAGTTTGGTTGCCTTGCTGTGTTCGATCAGGTTCAGTAGTTTCCTGATGGGGTCTGTTATATTGCGGCCAGGGACAAAGCCAGTCTGGTCTGGGGCTACTAACTTGTGTAGGAAGGTTTTTAGGCGGTTGGCCAAGATTGATGTGAATATCTTGTAGTCTTGGTTTATTAATGAGATTGGGCGGTATGATTCTACTTTGAGGCTGTCTTTTAGTGGTTTTGGGATGGAGACTATTTTGGAGTGGGTCCAGGTTTTGGGGATGGGGCCCCTTTTATGATGTCGTTGAATAGGCGGGTCATGTAGGGCATCAAGGGTTCTTTGAATTTCCTATAGAATTCTGCTGTGAAGCCGTCTGGGCCTGGGGCTTTGTGTGGTTTCAGGTTTTTGAGGACCGCATCTATTTCCTCTGGGGTGATAGGGCTGTCCATGAATTCCTGTTCCTCATCAGTTAGGGTAGGCATGGACAGTCCTGCTAGAAATTTTTGATTTCCTTCTCTGGTGGGTTATGGGAGGTGTATAGGTTGGAGTAGAATTCTGCAAATTCTGAGTTTATTTCTTCGGGGAGAATGTTATGTTGCCGTCTTTTTGGTGATGCAGTGTATTCTTGTTTTGAGTGCTTTTTCCTGCATCTATTTGCTAGTAATCTGGAGTTTTTCCTCCATATTCGTAGAAACGTTGTTTAGAGTATAGAATGTTGATCATTGTTTTGTTAATTTCTAGGAGTCTAGTTCTCTCCTTTTTTGTTCCATAAGTTTGAGGAGTTTTTAGATCCTGTTTGTTTGTAGCGTGATGAGAGGGCTGTGATGTCTTGTTCTATTTTGCTAATTTTTGAGGAGGTTTGTTTTTAAGGAATGTTTTCTCTTTTATGCAAGCTCCTCTGGTGACCGCTTTCATTGCGTCCCATAGGAGGGGTTGTTATATTGTTTACATCGTTTTCCTTGAAGTAGTTTTGGAGGGTTTTGTGAGACTCTCTCTAATTTGTTTGTTTGTAGTTAGGATGGGACTGAAGGACCATGATGGGGTGGTTTGTGTTCCTTCTCCTATTTTAACGATGACTTCTACTGGGGCGTGATCTGTGATTTTAATGTTACCTATGTTTGTTGATTCCACTGAGGGATCAGACCCTGTGTGAGTAGAATGCTGTCCAGTCTGGATACTGTATCATGGCGTCCCGATTGGAATGTATGGCTGATGTCTCCCGGGTTTTGCTCACCCCAAATGTCGTAGAGACCCCTGCTTTTTAGCATTTTTAGTAACTTGTAAGGGTTCCTAGTTGTTGGGGTTTCCTTCGGAGGAAGGTTGCCCATGGGGTTGTAGGGTGGATATCTTTCAGGGCTATGCCTTTCATATTTAGATTGAGGTCCCCTCCTAGGATTGCTTCCCTTCAGAGAAGGAGAGGAATTTGTTTAGTGTCTTCTGGAAGAATTCTAATTGTTTCGTGTTTGGGGCATATATGGAGCCAATTGTCAGTTTGATTTTGCCATCTAGTGTCCCTTTAGCGAAAATGAATCTGCCTTTTTGTCCTTGAGGACTGTTGTGGCAGTGAAGTTCAGGTCTCTACTGAGTATTATGGCTACACCACGAGCTTTCCCTGAGCCTCGTGCGACCCACTGTTGACTGAAGCGGGGTCGCTCAGGAGTTTGCTGCCTTTGGGTGGGTTGTGTATTTCTTGTAGGAAGGTGATGTGTGGTTTCATGGTGTTTATGTATGAGGTGATGCGTTTTCTTTTGATGGGGTTTCCCAGCCCCCTCACGTTTAATGTAATTGCTTTTAGGTTAGCCATCTTGCTTATCTATTATGTGGGGCGATTCCCTGCCAACCCGTTTGGGTTGTCTTGTATCTCTCTCTTCGTGTTGTTTAAAGTACCAGTGGGGTTGCGCTGACCTAGGGTGTGGCGGGTGTGGGGCTAATGGGATTAGAGTAAGATTTGGGTTAAAGAGTAGGGGTTAAGTTGTAGAGAGTTTCCTATATGTAGTCATATAGGTGTTTGTTTGGGGTATTTTAGGCCATCTGGCATTTAGCCGGTTGGTCCTAGGTCTCAGCTGGTGTGGAAGGCCGTGTTCAAGGACAGGCCATCCCCCCTGTTGTTTGCGATGGGGGTATCAGTGAGACAGTGTGAAGTGACTTTGTAACGTCGCTGTCAGGTATAAGGTTCGTAAGCAATGTTGCCAATGTTATGAGCAACATTGTTGGTGTGTTGGGGTGGGGATGTGGGTGCTGGTACGCTCTGGTGCCACCATAGTGCTGGTTGGGTATCAGATTTTAGCCTGACTGTGGGTTGTGTTATTAAGGTTGGAGTTGTTTTTCTTAGTATGGGGTATGGGGATGTTGAAGGTGTGGGTGATGTGGAATGTGGTTGAGGTCGTCTGGACTGGTGTTGGGGCGGGGATTTCTGTGGGGGTGCGGGGCTGGGGGGTATGTTGATGGTGTTAACGAAATCTATGTTTTGTGGGGGAGAGAGGGGAAAAGGGGGGAATCACCAGTCCTTCAGTTTGTGGTTTTTTCCTGGTTGCTTCATTCAGCTGGGGTTGTTGTTGTTGTAGGGTTGTCCATCTGCGATGAGTTGGTTTGGTTAATCTTGGTCTGGTTTCTTGTGTCATATGGCCGGCGGGACGATTCTGAGCGTGATGCTTCTCTGTATTGGTTTGCACTGTTGTGCCGCTTCTGTTTCTTTTTCTTCTGTACCGTCGTCCAGTTGTTTGCTGTTGTTTCCTCATGGTTGGGGCTGTCACTTGGTGGGTTTGTCGGTTGCCATTCCGGTGGGAGGTCGAGTTCAAGGTTCTTTAGTAGTTGCAGGGCCTCAGGTATGTTGGTAGCCATGTGTTGTGTTGTATTGGTTGTTACAATGAGGCGGAAGGGAAGCCCCATCGGTATTTGATCCCTGCTTGTTGGAGACGCTGGGTGCATGGGCGCAAGCTTTTCCTTCGGTTTAGGGTATCCTGAGATAAGTCCTGTAAGGCCAGTATGGGGATTTCTCCATATCGAAGGTTGGTTGAGTTTCTGAGGTGGTACCATACCTCTTCCTTCTTTTTGTAGCGTGTGAAGCATACAATGATGTCTCTTGAGGGCGCTGGGTTTTGGCATAGGTTTTAGGGCTCTGTGAGCCCTCTCCAAGTCATCTGCCTCAAGTTTCAGGCTTGGGATTGTGTTTTTCAGCCAGCGTATAATTAGGTCTGCTGGGCTTTTCTCCTCTGTTTTTCAGGAAAGTTGCGGAAGCGGATGTTACAACGTCTATTGCGGTCTTCAAGGTCGGCTTGCTTAATTTTCATCTCTCTGTGTTCTGCTTCAATTTGGTTTACCAGTTCGTCCAGTTTCTTGTTCACACGTGCGTTCTCCTCCCGGTATTGCTCTATTATTCTTTCTTGCATTTGGTTCTTGTTCTCTAGAGCTTCCACTTTGGAGGTTAGGTTGTTGATTAGTACCTGCATGGGAGCCATTGTGGCCTTCAGTGTTTCTTCTAATCGTGCTTCTAATCTTGCTTCCATTTCCCTCAAATCTCGTTTCGTTATTGGGTGGTCATCATCTTGAAGGGGAGTTACCGTCTTAGCATTGTTTGTCATCTCCCTGGTTGGTGTCATCTCAGTCTCCCTGATGGTTTTGGTTTGAGGTTGGCTTGGCGTCCTCTTGGAGTAGGGCGTGTGGTGGTTAGGAGTTGTGGCAGTGGTGATTCCTGGGTATTGTTGGGTTGCTGAGCTGATCAGGCGTTCTTTCTTGGTGGCTTAAACAGAGCGTTTGAATTAGGTGGTCATTTGTGTCACTTCTAGCCTGTGTTTTGAGAACTTCTCTAGGGTTTCTGTAGTTGCCTCAGCGGTGCCGCCAACGCGGGGGGGGGGCAGGTAAGCAGAAATGGGTAGACTAACGGGCAGACAGTTCATATAAAGGGGGGGGGGGGTTTAGCAGGTAGAGATGCAAAAGATTAGAGGGGTGGGGCCAGGGGAAATATGTGTTTAGGAGGGGGTTGTATATACCCAAAAGGGGTACTGGGGTCCAGCTAAGGTGGGAGTTGGGGTTGGGAGTGCGCTCAGAAACAGAGACAGACAAATAGGCTCTATGTAAAGGGTGGAGGGAGAAAAAGGGAAGAAGAAGAAAGAAAGAAGAAGGGGGGAGGTGGGGGGAGAGGGGAGATTGGAGTAAAAGAGAAGAGAGAGAGACAAAAAGAGAGTTGAAATAGAGAGGAGAGATAGTACAGTAATATCAGCGGTATTAGATTGCAGCAGTAGTTTTAGCTATAGTATGAGGGGGGCAAAGTATGATATGGTCATAGGGATGTGTGGTGGTGTTTACTTTATGGGAAGGGGGGATGGAGACAGGGAGGAGGGAGAGGAAAGGAGAGGAGGAGGGGGAGGGGTGGGGAAAGGAAGGAGAAGAAAAGAGGGGTGAGGGAGGGAGGGTGAGCTGTGGCAATGGTATGGGGAAAAGTCTTATTTTAAAAGGGGGGTGGGGAGAAAGGGCTCCCCCCTCAGAAACAAACTGACAAACAGGCTAAAAGGGGGGGGGTTGATTTTAAAAAATAAAGGGGATAGAAAACAATGTTGGGGATGGAAGGGTGGGATAATAGGAAAAAATAAGGAAGGGTGGAGAGAGAGGAGAGGAGGAGGGGGAAGGGTTAAAAAGAAAGGATTAACAAAAGAAACAAACAAAAAAACAAACAAAAAAAGAAGGAAAAAGAAGGGGTAGTTTCTTCCTTTCTGCGATCTCCTTTGTTATGCGGCTTTCCTGTTTTCCTTGCCGCTGGAGCTCCGGTCGGCTCAGCCACGTGTTTTTTCGGAGCCTCTTTGCCTTCCCTACCTCTCCTCTTCTTTCCCGTCGGCAGAGATGGGGGCAGCAGCGGTAAAGTTGGGGCTCCTTTTGCTTTTTCTTCTTTTTCTTCCTCTCTCCCCCTTTCTTTCTCCCTCTTTGCGTTAGCTCCACTGTCCTCCTCGCTTATTGCATTTATATACCACTCCCCCCCCCCCGGACCTTATGGTCCTCCAATCTCCTCTTAAGCCAAAAACGGTTGTCTAAATATAATTAACTGCAATCTTAAAAAGCAAATAACGGTTGGTTCGTTTTCTAAAGTCGTTGCCCAAACAGACTGAACCAATTGTATAAACACTATTGGGGGGGGGAAACAAAACACTTGAGCATAAACACAAAAAGCTCTCAAAATGAGTACAGCAATCTTGTAATTATTAGTGTTTCATTCTTTTATACATTGTGGCTCAATAAAACGCTTTCCCCCCACCATAGTACTCAAAAGCCTGCGGTGCTCCGAATCTAACAGCACACCCGCACTGGCCCTCCCGCACCAGTTGCAGTACAGTACTCCCCTTTCGCCACTCTTGTTGATGATTCCTTTCCAGTCGTGGATGCTCCAGCAAGAAAATGCTTTTGACCCTTTGCAGCAAGTCCATCCCAAACCCATTGCCCAAGCCAGACAGCAAATAATACCACTTCAAATTTCCACAAAGCTTGGAGACTTTGGCTACTCCAATCCTCTGATAGCCCATCACCAGACTCGGAAGGTCCAAATAACCATATGGAGGGGGGGTCGATCCATCCCCCCCATTTCCAAATCTGACCACATTTCATCTTTCCGAATCTGGTTTGTCCCAAGTTCATTTATCAAGTTCAAAGGCTGATCTTGCCCGTCCATAGGTCCCTCCATCTCTGAAGCCTCCATCACTACAGCAGGTTCATATGCTTGTATAGCCTTTAACTGAATTTCATTTGTTTGCTGCTGTGCTCTGGTAACTTCCATCCTCAAGGTCGTCTCCTGACGCATCTGGTCCAGCTGGGCACTTAGTTTTGAAAAACCTTCCAGGAACAATTGTTCAAGCCTTTGTACTAGCATTGTCCTTCAAGGTCAAAGAAAATTCTTTCCCACGAGAGTAGTCCAATAGTCCTTCTCTTTTAATCTCTCTGCGTTGCAATTTCACTAAATTCCACTAGATGGAATTTTTTTTTTTAAAAAAAGGAATAAAAACAACAGCAACAATCTTTCTTTTCCAGAAACACTTTATCCAAAATTCCCCTTCCAAATTCAAGAGGCAACAGTAGAATCAAAATGTTACCCTTCTTTTAACTAACTGTCGAGCTGGATAAACTTCAGAACGTCAATTCTGACAGCCCGCTCCTGGTTCAGGGCGGTGGAAAATTGCTTTATTTTAAACTCACTTCCGCAGGATTGAAAAGTCCAAATACAACCCCTTTTTCTCCTGCTGTCAAAGGGGGTTCAGAAATCTTAGATGTTGAATTCTAGTTCTCTTAAAATTTAATTTTCAGGCTTTAGTATATTTTGTCTTTGCTTTCTTCACATAACAAAGAACGGAAGGCGACTTCCTGTTTAGACCTTCCCATTCCGAGACCCAATTAAGTTCAATTTCAAGTCCAATATTATTTGTTTATTCACCAGTCTTAAAAGTGGTTCAGCTCTTCTAAGATCAGGTACTCACGGATAGATGTTTTAGATGCCAAATTGTCCAGGAAAAAGGCAGCGCTCTCCGATAACGGCAGTGCGGCTTTGCTGCACGGAGGAAGCAGACGACTCACAGCACCACGCACCTCCCACTCAGGAGCCCGGTAACGGGCTCCGGAGTGGGAGAGAGCGCTCTCGGTGCCCGCCGAGTCCCACGTCCACAGGCTTCTTCCGCCTGTGGTTTTTGCGGGTCCCCGCTGCGCCGTAGCGGCAGGACCCAAGCCTCCGTGCAGCGGGTTCCCTTCAGTCCGAAGGGAATTCCGCCATTTTCCGGAGGCGCCACCCCGGAAGTCTCTAGCATCAGTTGTTGAATGGGGTAAGGGCAAGTATAGTGAGATATTATATGGATTTTGAGTAGATAGTAAGGGCCAGGAGCTGGAAAATAATTATGTGCAAGGATATTTTAACATTTGGATGTACTGTAAATTGCCCTGCATGTCATTGGAATTTGTAATAATCACCACCTATTTATATTATCATTTTTATTGCACAGTTCAAGGGTTCAAAGTGCTCTTCATCATGCCAGCCCTCAAAGCTGGACCAATGCAGTCCCCATTTTCCCAATCCTGTCTTTCTAGGCACTTTCTCATTATTCTCCTGCCTCAGGCTTCTGTTTGGTCCAGGTCTCTTTGCCTAACCTTTTCCCTAGGCCCTTCCCTTCTGCAGCATATGAATAGAGCAGAGAGTAATGAGAATAGCATATGAATAGCTCAGACAGCATGAAAACCACTTAGCCATCAACTTAGGATCAGAGCAGTGAGCAGGGCATCCAAGAGCAGTGAGCAGAGCATCCAACGAAGACCTTTTGGACTGTCTGGCCACTCTGATGATGAGAGACGGATAGCAGAACAATAATAAAGGCAAATATTTGCAGCAGTTTTTTCACTTCCAATGGGAAGGCTATTCATCTCCCTATATCAAAACTGACAGGGAATCCAGATTTATATATGTAGTGGTATTTCTGCACAACTCATTGGCATGCGTCTGATGTGCAAGTGTGACAGAGCTATGAAAGCCACTTACTTCTACAACACATTATTAGCCCAATGCAGGCATTATTTGTTTCCTTTACATAACAATATGGGAGCAAGGAGCAGGGGTTGAGCTGAGTAGCCCCATCCCTGATTTTCACTCTTTGTAGGTCAGACCCCCCCTTGACATGTGCACATCAAGCACAAATGACTGGGCAGGAGGCTTCACATGTATAGCTGTATGCTGTTGATGCACACAGGAACTTATAATGCCTGAAGCAGTGGAAAGCATAGACTGCGACTTGCTTAAACCCCTAAATGTATTATCCAGGTTTTCCTCCTGTAGTACTGGAGACAGGCATTTCCTGCCCAGATTCCTTTTTTTCAAGCGTTTAGGCCTTTAAATTGCACTTGTAGACTGCAGTTGGTTGTATTTTTCACTAATAACTCTTTCACTCTGCCCAACATTCTGCCTACAAGAGTTAATAGTGAAAAATACAATTTCAGTCTGTCTTATTACTTTTCCTTGTAAGTGAACATGCCCAAGCACCTCTGCACCTTGATTACAAGGAGGAGCCAGCATCAAACAGTAAAAGGCACAGATAAGTTAATTCTGTGCTTATAGGATTGTAAAGTGTTTCCAGTTAAAACAAATACTTGCCCAGTAATCTGTTTAGATTTAATTTTTCTGAATTAACTTTGCTCTTCTGCACCTTACTTCTGTTTCTAGTAATAAAAAAAGCTGTGAACTGTAGGTTCTCTTTTAAAATTATATATTTTCTAAAAGACTTTTAAAAACTTGCAATTTGTGTCACAATTAATTTAGTCTCCTCTGCACATACACACCCATTATAAAATACTTTGCCATTAAGTGGACTATCAAGTACTCATCTCTAGTAAGAAGGGTTTGAGACACAAAATGGTATTTAATTACCTTTGCATGGTTTTGTTCTCATTTTAAAGATATATTTTAAGCATTGAACACTCCCTTGCCTCTTCTAAACAGTATGAAAAGTATATTGAGTAGTTTGCCATGAATGGACTCAGTGGTGGAGCAAAACCTGGTAGAGCATATTATCTTAGCAGGCAGTCTTAGGTTTTAATTTCTAACCCTTCTCTGTCTCCAGTGGGAGGGACTAGATATTTCTGATCTTGCTCCTGACCATATTCAGATCCAGCCAAGCACTCAGTGACTTCCCTGACTTTTTTGTATGTAGCTGTGGGAAAATTCCTGGTTGGCTGGCTATGAATTAATGAAAATCCTTACAATGCTTCACTAATGATAGCTCCTGCGGGTTTAAAAAAATGCTATTGCCTTTTTTTAATTTGAAGGAGGTCATGGAGGTTTACAGAAACTAAGAGAAGGTAACATCTGGTTGTGCTCTGCTGATGGCTGCTTTTGTGTGAAGAAAAAAAGTTATGGTGTTTCTTCAGCATCAAACGCTTTCAAGGTGATCCTCATAAGAATTCCTTCTAAAATGTGCTCCACTCAAGCTGTGAGTTCTAATTAATAGTACTCTTCTGAAATGCTGGATCTTACTGTTATACTCCCAAATTTCTAATACTTTAATCCCAAAGGATTACTAAACTATACTGGTTTGATAATTTATGTAGTAGACAGTTGAGTTTTTTAAAAAAGCCCCCCCCCTTAAGACGTTTGATGATAAAATAGTCAATATAGTGATTCACCTATGAATGTCCAAGCTATAATTGGTCTTAAGCAAGACTGAAATAAGGGTTGATACCTTCTGTGCATAGTGTGTTTTTCCTTGTGTGCCCAGTTATGCTCTTTGAAATCCACCAAGGGCATCTACTTAATGATACCATCTGGGTTTCTGGTTCAGCCAGGAATTTGCATAAAGAGTGGTGCTCATGATGGATGTCTTCCAAATATGGAAATCCCTCCTGCTTCAGGGTTGTAAGAGTTTAAGCCTGAGCACATTCTGGAAATACTCTAAAAGAGGGTGGGTATTCCTCACTTTAGGGCCTGTTCTGGACCCTAAGACTCCCACCAATTTTGTTAGCTGCAAAAAGAAAAACATAGACACAGCATTGAGGTAGGTAGAGTTCTGCGCCCTAATGGAGATGGCAAATTGTCCCCTTCCCAGTAATCCAAGCAATCACTTGATTTAAAAAGGGGACTAAACCACCTCCTTTGCTGATCTGTGTGGATCAGTTGAGGAGTGGAGCTGTGAGCTTGTATGTGCTTGTATGCATGTGATAAAGTGCATGAAAGAGTGTGAGAGGGTGCACCCACTTTTGTCCACACACAACATGTGGCCCCTGCGGGTTCAGTGGACTTGAACCTTGATGTCATTACTCCTGCTAGAAACTCTGAAGAGCTACTGCCAGTCAGTGTAGACTAGGGTGAGGAATCTGCCCTATACCTCACAGGCCAAACCTGACAGGTGGGTGAGGCAACTCACCTGTCAATTACCTAACATCACAGTGATATTAGGCAATGATAATTGAGACTTCAAAGCACCACACAGCGCTTCTAGAGAGCTCTGTCCTATGCTTTGGGCCCCTGCTGATCAACAGTGATTGATGGGTGGAGATTTCAAGGCTGCTTTCAGCAGGGGCTGACTTTGCAACCAAGTTCCTCATCTCTTGTCTGCCCAAACATGATGTTATAGTGTTCCATTATTGAAGAAAGGTAGGATATAAATGCTAGAAAATAATAATAGACCCTGTGCCATATTAAGCATGGAAGAAGTTGGTCTGAGAAGATTGGGATAGGTGGGAAGTAGCACGCACACCCCCCAAAAAAAATTTAACATCTGCAAAAAGCCATTGGGAATGATATTGGGAAATTTGGAGCATGGTGTCACCAGTGTGTCAGTGACATGCACCTCTACTTCTTCATAACTCCATAATAGCTGTGCAAGCCCTGGACCAGAGTCTGAATGCAGTGGTAGACTGGATGAGCAGCCAGCAAACTGAGTTTGAAGACTGAGACAGAGGCTCTGTTTGTGGGCAGGTGGTTCCCATTCTAATTTCTCTGAAAGTGCAGGTATGCATCTTTGTCATTAGAAGTCCAAGTGACCTCTGCTTCATGGTATGTGACAGGGGATGTAGATGCTGCATTTAGACTACAGTGCTCAAGCTGTTTATGCAGGTGTGTTTGCATGCCACCTAAGTTTAACTGATGTTTACTGTGTCATCTAGCATAGCTTTCTTCAGTATCATTTCTCATGATACAATTCCTGTGGTCCCATCTTCCTAGCATTTTCAGACAGGTAGCTAAGTTAGTCTGCAGCAGCAAAAACAATGAAGAAGACTGTGGCAGCTTCAAAGACTGGCAGATTTATTGTGGCATAAGCTCTATAAGCTCTAGTCCACAAACTTTATGTCATAATAAATCTGTTAGTCTTTACGATACTACAGGTCTCTTTGTGGTTCTTCCTGCCATGAAATCCAAGTGTTTGTTGGTTAGAATGCATGTTATTTTTTGCAATCAGGAAAACTTTCAACCACTTACTAAATGCCACCATGCACAATGTGTTGCAAATAATGCATTCTAGCGGTACATGAATTATTTTAATTGGAAATAAAGGATGCATCATCAGTCCAGTGGGAATTTCATTAGACTCCAGGTTCATTTTGCAAGTGGAATTTCAGCAAGGTCTGCTAAAGTTGCAGAAACACCCAGAGAACCTTTAATAATGGCAAGTAAGAATCTTTGCTTTGCATCTCATCTCAAATGTAGCATCTCCATCAACACAGTATCCTGTAACAAATACTCTTGTGTCTGGTATGCTATTGATGTGGAGTTAGGGGCATTCCAAAATACCAACACTCTTTTGTTTTTGTTTTGCAGCCCCAAAATGCACTGGTTTTGCAGCCCCAAAATGCACAACCAAGGAAATCATAGCAATTTTTAGACCTATAGTACAGAGTTGCAAAAGTACAACATAAACCTTGTTAGTTAGTAGTGCAATAATACATTCAATTATAGTATGTGTGTGTAAAGAAACTCTGTCACACATTTCTCTCCATTAATATGATCCTGGATTTATGCCTGAGGAGTTAATGTTCTGTAATTACTTAGCCGTCATTACACTTATACTCCAACTCCTGACCAAAATAAAGTGTAAATCACAAAAAAGAGGTTAAAGTGTCAGTAAACTCTGTCCCTTAACAGGTGACAAGCTCGTAATGTGTGGTGTTGCAGAACAACAGCAGAAACAAAAACCCTCCTATCTTTTATTCATAAGTTCAGGATAATACCAGAGGGTACAGCTTAGGTATCTCCAAATAGTTGCATTTCTAAGATTAATTCACTAATCATGCCATTGACTTTTTGAGTAAGGACCACTAGCTGTGAAATGTCATGCAGAGTTTTTAAATGGAACATTCAGTTTGCTAAAGAATGAGCTGCAAAGACAGAACTTTCTCTTTATGGCTGTTAGCAGTAAATGCAAGAATCAAAGCCGCAAACTGAATGAAAGGCTAAACCCCCTGTATTATCCAACAGTTTTAATAGGTATGAATAACTATGTTCATTCCACCTTTGTGATATTGGACATGTGTGTGTTCCTTGTTTTCCTTTTCCTTTCAGAATTTTGCTGTATGCAACGTATTTTTGTGATAGGTTAGTGTTTCTATTCAGTGCTTTAAAAATCTGCTGGTTTAAAATCAGAGTTAAGGCTGTCTCTTGTTGCTCAAGTTCTACAAAACAGGAAAACAGGAAAATAATACTGATGCCTTTGCTGACTTGCCCTGTGATGAGCATTGATGTTGTGCAGTGTCATAAATTGTGCTTGTTTGCAGCTTGCCTTACATGCACCTGCAACTTCCCTTGGTCTTTCAGGCCCAAATCCAGATGGAATGATGGAGTGCCTGGGACCATCAAGAGTGTCCCATATTGTCTTGGTTCTGCATTGCCTTATGAAACATTTGACCCTTACTGCATTGCTAGAGGAATCCTTCTGTGACATGACCCCTGGCTGTTTGTTCCTTATATCAGTAACCGGTGGGATGGGTTAACATTAGAGATTGGGCCACCTTTTAGCACCCTTCGTCCTCCTTGCCACAAAGAAGCTTTTCATGTGTCACTACAGAAGACTGAATGACAAAGAGATTAAAAATTTCTTATTCTGGATTTGGACCTGCAACCTGAAGAATGAAAGGAAAATACTAATTCCACTACTCACAAATGTTGTTTGCAATTCATGGTTTGTCTGGAGCAACAGAATCCATGTTCAAGTGACACACTAGGCCAAGCCGTAGTTTAACTCATGGCAGCACAGCAACAGGAAGATTTATGGGAGGAGTACAGTAGCTGCAGTCTGTCTGTGGGGAGGCAGTGTTTGCATGTTTGTGCTATAATCCATGGTTCAGCTTAGCATGATGTGCAAACCTGGCCTTAGTGTTTTGTGCACTAGAGTTGCTGCACCTGTGGTGTCAGTCAAAAGTTTTTACTTTTAGAGAAATGGAGGAGGAAGTTGAAATCCCGAAGAACAGCAAATCTAGCGCGTGCTAAACCCTCACCTTCTTTCCCCGGTCAAAATAAGACTAAAATCTGCAGTGATTTACTTAAGACCAGTGCTAGAGAATTGAGGCTCTGCCTTGTAAATGGGTACCACTGGAGCATTTGGAAGTTAGTCCTGTTCATGTCACATTCTGGTACATGTCCCATCAGTACGGGTGAAGCTTGTAACCTCATGTTAATGGCATAGCACCAGTTAACATAGTTGGAAGCACTTCAACCTGTAAATTCTATGGCCATGGCTTCCAATTTTCCTAGCTCTTTCATTTCCTTATTTTCATTTGCTACTTGCTAATAGCAAGGTCTGGATGAAAGGTTTTTTTATAGTTAGAATTATAGTGGTACCTTGGTTTAAGAACAGCCCTGTTTACACACTATTCGGTTTACAAAGTCTGCGAAACTGGAATTTGTGTCCTGGTTTGCAAACTTTACCTTGGTCTAAGAACGGAAGCTGAACGGTGGTAGGGCACCGCCAGCGGGAGGCCTCATTAGGGAAAGTGCGCCTTGGTTTAAGAACGGTTTCGGTTGAAGAACGGACTTCCCGGAACAGATTAAATTAGTAAATTGAGGTACCACTGTATTAACAGGAGGTTTTATGTACAGATCGTAATTAAATATAAATTAATTATTTGCAAAATTCCTAATTTTAGTGAGTATGACAATGTATGGTAAAAGGAAACCAGGAGGGTAATTGACAAGAATAACAACTTTGATTTGTTTTAAAAAGAAAACAGTCTTGATGCTCTTAAATTTTCTGCTGTAGACTGAAACTCACCTGCCCAAATTTGTTCTAATCTAGTTACATGGAACTTTTATTATTGCCAAATGGCTCAAATAATATCAAGGGCTTTTGAATTTAATTTTTTGAATTCAAGTTGTGGGTCTGTTTAAGACATCTCTCTTATTCTCTTTCCCCATTGATCAAAGTAGAGAAACCTGTGCCTCTGTTTTTGTTGCACACATTGACAGTCTATGGATAACATTACATTTTTTCAGCATGAAACTGAACACTCTAAATCCCTAAAGCAGTCTCAAATGTATGGTTAATAAAAGAATTTATTGTACTGGATGTCATCTGTTATATCACTCTGGGAACAAACCTGGCAGTGAGTGGACAGGAAATATTTCCATTTCAAATCACTACAATCTTTTATGGTCTAGGGCAAAAGTGTCTAATTTCAGCAAAGTCACTGAATAGTGTGTAATGAAGGCATTTTAGTTGATTAAATGCATGTTATCACTTTTCAAACAACATTAGGGTGTTTTCTTCCCCCCTCTGTGCTTTTAACAGAAGCGAATATTTCTGTACATATTATGTGTGTTCTGTCTGCAGTACTGAGCGCTAGAAATATGTTTTTCCCCCATTGGCAGAGAGAATAGTATGTATTTCCAGATAAACAATTGGGCATTCCCAGGAGGTTAGCAAGAAGATAAGCTTGTGAACCATAGCCAAAGCACTTCGTAGTTTTAAAGGACTGCTTTTGTAATCAGCTACTTCCTCAATGGAGAAGCTTGAGGAGTTGCTCCTGTGTAGCCATTGCTGTGTACTTGGCATGCTGTTTTAATTGCAGACTGCTTCCACCCCTCACTCACTCCACCAGTGCAAAATCTGTGTGAATGACAGCCATTTGCGTGGAAACTAAATGCAGTCACAATGCAGAACTTGGAAACACAAGTCAGGTTTAATAAGGTGCCGTAGCCTTTGCAGGCAAAAGGTCCTGGGGCCATTCTGTGGCATCTCCAGTTAAAGCAATCTTGAGTAGCAGGGCCAGGAAAAGTGTCTTCCTGAGACCAAGGAGAGCCTGTGCCCCACCTCGAATGGACACATGTGCTTTTGTGTCCAAATGAGCTGGCCTTAACTGAGATGAATACAGAAAATGTTTTGCCTTCTTGATCTTGGCCAGTAATTGGGAATTACAAAAATAGTTGATTCTGACATTACGGTTTTGAGAGGACAGTGGGATTGGGACCTTCCCTATTGTCATGGGGCAAGAACTCTTTTGGATGTTGATATGACTGCCCAGAAGTGGGGGGGGGGGGGGGAGAGATACTTTGAGGATAGATTTGTTTTGTTTTAAAATATTCAAAATGCTGCCATGTGGGGCTTTCCTGTTCAGTGGTGTGTGACGGAAAAGTTTGTTTTGCTGGGCAGGTTGGGTCACCAAGTGTTTTCTTTTCCCCTGCCAGCAAACGGTTAACAAACGGGGTCTAGGAGGGGGAGTTGAAAAGGAGAGGATTTTGAGAGGGAGGTTTTTTTGGTTGGGAGAGAGGGAATGAGAGGAGAGAGAGTTGGTTCTGGGTAGAAGCATCCACTCTGAGGAATATATCACAAGCTAGAGAAAGGAGTCTCTGAGCTTAGTGTGAAGGACGGTGTGTGGTGTCCTGTAAGAGTAATAGGCCAGGAATTAACTGGGAGGCGGAGGCTGAGCGGGGAGAAGTAGAAGATGTGCGAATACAGTCTACTTAGGTCTCATTCCAGTCAGGAGTGGAGAGATTTTTCTACAAAAAGAGAAGACTCCGAAACCAGTTCAGAGGGGTGTGGTGATCCCTTGGGTCTGTTACTTGGAGAACCTCAGGAGTAGGGTTGTCTAAGGCAGGCACAGGTAAACTCAGCCCTCCAGATGTTTTGGGACTACAATTCCCATCATCCCTGACGACTGGTCTAAGGGGTGTGTAACTGACAGGAAGTACCACCTTGTTTAAGAACCAAAGTATTAAGCAGCAACAGCTGTACAACAACTGAGAAAGAACTGAAGTGAAATAATATTATAATCTGAAGTATCTTATGTTTTACCCACTTTGTGTCATAAATTTCCTTTGTTTAATAAAATCTTTGTTTATTTGATCAAAACCTGCCTGAGACTCCAAATTGTTAAGTTTTCACTCACACAAGTCCCTCACAAGATAATCTGGGGTAGTTTGTAGGCATTCATGGAATTGGTGTTCTGTGAGGTGGGTGCACTATATTTAAGTGAGGGCGGGCCCAACGGCACCAAAGGAAAAAGTGCCGTCACATGGTGCAGCCAGCTTTTTGCTCTCCTGCAGAACCTGAGGTTCTTCCAAGCCTGCTAATTGATACTCCCTCTTGTGACTGGGTGGTCCTTTGAACAAGGACACTTTGAAAATTGATGTTGAAGGCAACTTGGTGGAGGCTGATTCAGACTGAGGCAGAGGCACTGGGTGGAGGGTAGTTTTAACCCTCCAAGTGCTATTTTGCCACTCTTAATTCCACACCTTCCTTGTCCCAAAGCTGCCCTTTGTCCAAGGAAAGCAAACTTAAGTACCACAATCAGAATATCTTTAAATACAGAATTCATCAGGCCTGGTGTCCTAGTTTGGCATCTACTGATAGGGATTTTCCCTATAGGTTTTAACTGCCATAGTTGCTTCAGAAGAAAGAGAGCTGTCCCCCTAGTTTACAATGCATGATTGTCTTACATAAGCCAATATATACGAGATGCATTTCATTAGTATGTTCAGGCTCCCCATCAGAGTGTTGTGCACAATTAAAAAGTAAACACACAAACTCAACAAGCAGAATTGAAAAAGGCAGCATAACAGTTCAGCATAAAAGTATACTGGAGCAAATAAAGCCTAATTAAAATGTCCCCAATGGGTACCTAAATAATGACACAATTGGTGAGCTTTCCTGGAATGGGCATTCCGTAAATGGACATGCCACTTATTTTCAAGTGGTAGTGGGGATTGGAAGAGAGACTCTGATGTGGAACATAGCATTTGGCCAGACAGTCCCAAATTTGGGTGGTAGAAGACAATCTTACAAGTTGGTGTGTATTAAAATATTTTTAGTCTGGCTCTCATCCTTTTGGATACCAGGGTGGTATATAATGAGCCTGTTAAAATAACATAAAACAATAATACCAAACCGTCATCGTATACAATTTAGAGGCAGCTACAATCATACAGCAGAAAAAACCGACATAACTTAGAAATGCTTGGAGAAAAACAAGTTTTCATCTGTGTGTGCATAGCAAACTACAGTTGCTTTTACTTGCTGACTCCCAGTTTAACTCCTTATCATACAGATAAGTGAATTACTAAAGCTTCTTTGTTAGAACTATGAAATTCATTTTCTATTCTTTTTCTCATGCAGATATGGGCAGGGAGTGGGTGGGTAGAAGTGCTGCAGTAGAGTTAGAGAGCACATGCTCTACACGCAGAAGATTTCAGGTTAAAAAGAGTAGGTAACTGGTGGTGGGAAAGACCTCTGCCTAAAACTCTGGAGAGCCATTGCTAGTCAGAGTAAGCAGAAATAGGCTTGGTGAACAAGTATCCTGATGTGGTAGAAGGCAACTTCCTAATGTCTTGATGGGGTACATAAATTTGACACAAGCTCTGTTGTCAGACTTCCAGTCCAATAGGTTAGGCACACAAGCGGTCATCACTGGAAGGAAGAGGAAGATAGGGAGATCAGTTGGGAAAGGTCTGAATGGAAGTTACGTGTTTTAAAACTTGTGTTTCAACCCAGTCTTGGCTAGGTGGATTATTCCTAGTTTATGCTATTGAATATAGGGAAGGGTTTTTTGCATCTACGTAGCTAACTGTGACAACTGTCCACTCTGTGGTACATTGGGAGAGAGAGAGAGAGAGAGACAGACGACAGACAGACACACAGAGGATTTCATTACATCAGTGGAGTACATTGAGTGTATTTGTATTGGGCATGACTGTCTGTTGCATCTCGAATGGTGATGCTCAAAACAGCTTTACTTAAATTAGGTCTTTTAAAATTTCAGTACTTCCTCTTTCCTCTTAAATGATCAGTTCAGATGTCCAGGTTAAAATTTCCACTGCAGAATCTTGTGATCCTTGGAATAATTTCCTTTGTTCTTATATTCTGGGGGACGAGTGAGTTAGGAATACAGAGGGAATTGACTGGAAGTTTGTCTTTTCACCTTCAGATATTCCTGTACTTCCCACTTTTCCTCGCATGAAAAGGAGACTTTTGTTTCTAGCCAGTGGGGATATTTCTGCAGCGGTGGGACAGGAATTATATATATATGTAAATTTGAAGACACAAAGCACACAGTTGCAGTGTGTGTTTCTTTTTGATCCTTTGCATTCCTTCCCCTGAAATCTCTTCCAACTTCTTAGTATGGTATAAGTATTAAGAAAACTAATGATGGAATTTGCATTCAGCGCCCCCCTCCCGCTCCTGAAATGTGCATACTTCATTTTCTCCCATTCCTGAGGAATCTATTGAAACCATCTGTTGGCCCATCTCCAGGTGCTTGCTAAGGTTTTAGAGACGGAGGCTGCATGCCACACTTCCTGTGCTCCTCTAACCTATGTTTATACCTAAGTGGATAGTAAGCGGAACTGTCAATATTGAAATTATTTATCATTTCTCTGCAAAGACTGCTAGGAGAAAAACGTTTTGAGCTGCATTCCTTTACACTCTTACTTGGGAGTAACTACACTGAGGTTGATGAGCCTTGCATAGGTTGCATTGTTAACAACTTGCTTGGATCAAGGGAAGTAATAGTGCCACTGTATTCTGCTCTGGTCAGACCTCACCTGGAGTACTGTGTCCAGTTCTGGGCACCACAGTTCAAGAAGGACATTGACAAACTGGAACGTGTCCAGAGGAGGGCAACCAAAATGGTCAAAGGCCTGGAAACGATGCCTTATGAGGAACAGCTAAGAGAGCTGGGCATGTTTAGCCTGGAGAAGAGGAGGTTAAGGGGTGATATGATAGCCATGTTCAAATATATAAAAGGATGTCACATAGAGGAGGGAGAAAGGTTGTTTTCTGCTGCTCCAGAGAAGCGGACACGGAGCAATGGATCCAAACTACAAGAAAGAAGATTCCACCTAAACATTAGGAAGAACTTCCTGACAGTAAGAGCTGTTTGACAGTGGAATTTGCTGCCAAGGAGTGTGGTGGAGTCTCCTTCTTTGGAGGTCTTTAAGCAGAGGCTTGACAACCATATGTCAGGAGTGCTCTGATGGTGTTTCCTGCTTGGCAGGGGGTTGGACTCGATGGCCCTTGTGGTCTCTTCCAACTCTATGATTCTATGATTCTATGAGATGTTTCTACACCTTATATCTAAATTACCACTGGTACAAAATAGTAAACCTTGTTTTTCTTGGGATAGTGTAGAAAAGAGCCTCTCATTTCATTTCTGATTTCAATCATGCAAGTCCTGGCTTTTTCCTGCTCTTCCCCCCCTTCCCCCCCCCCCCACAAACTATACTCCTGCTATCAAGACAGTACAGCTTTTATGGTATGCATGTTAGCTTGGATATACACTCAGAAGACTTCTACCATCACTTTGCTTGCTTTTGTTGAAAGTGACATATCAGCTTGGACGTCTCCTAGCAAGCAACTTGCATAACAATAAAAATGTGGCAGTCCAAGCCTGTTCAGAATGTCTCTACTTGCAAAAGGCTTGAAAAAACAAGTATAGTGTTGTCATTTTGGCAAGCGGAGCTCTGCTAATTTCCAAGCTTAATGGAAGACTTCAGAGGGCACATGCTGTGTAGGCACTCTTTTTGGGTCCATGGGCACTGTTGCAAACTGGAGAAGCTATCATGAACACACACACACAGACACCACAACATGCATGGCAACCACAAATACATGCAGTCAGTTAGGCTTTTGTTTTTCCCCCAGGGTCTTGTTTCCCCCATCCCTGCCTGCTGAAATTAGGCTTGAAGCAAGCTTTAAGTGTGGACTGGCGAGGAGCATTTTTGCTGCCAGGGAGGTCATAACCGGAGAGCGATCCCTCTGTAGCTGTGTCCCCCTGAAATTACCCTCTGTGCTGCAGCTGGGCTTGCATTAAGCTGTTTATTGGCTACAGTAGAATTTGCTACATGGGCACCGCTTTGGTGACCTTTGGGCTTAACCTTCTGTTGCAGGTGGTACATTGTGCTTTTTAAAATCATGCTGTCCTTAGATAAGCCACTGTGAGGCAGAACCTGCCAACAGTGTGATTAAGATAGGGCTGTTAATGACTGGCTAATTATGAGCCTTTGCTTCCCCAGTTACCCTGCTACAAAGATGTTTGCATTTAATCTAGCACAAGAGGCTCAGCAATAAGCAACAAGGAGGTTTAAAAAACCTTAAATACTGAAAGTGCAGTTTTTAAAAAACTTTGTTTTGCTTATTTTACAGTGCAGATTAAATAAAATAAATATTGAATTCCTCAACATGCATTTATCGAGGAATTCAAGCCCTGCTTGCTACAGCATGTTGGAGACTCATTCATGCTGTCACACAACTGCTAGGTCAGTTCTTCAATTGCTTTAGTAGCATGTTTACCACTTCTCTAAGCAGTTCTGGCTGGGTTTCAAATACAGCAGCCATGTGCATGGGGCATACTGAATTGTTATTAGGGCAAGCAACAATACCATTCAAGAAGTGCAAGAACTGTCCCTAGGTTTCCATAAAAGGTGGAACAATGGGATTGGAAACACACTTTACCTTTTTGCTTTGATAGAGTATATCATCCAGTTATCACGGGAACAGTCCTGTCCCATATTTTAGCAATATGACTGTAAAACATAACTTTTACCAGGGATCTCTTAAAAAATACGCACACATCTATTTCTCTACAAAAATGAGACTTTTCATAGTTCATATTTGGTCCTTTCCCATTTTTCTTTCCTTAGACACCCAATATCTCACTATATGCTCTGTTTGGTCTTAAATCACAGAGGAATCTAAATGGGCCACACCTGTCTCTTTGTATCAGCAGGGTTTTAGCGTTCCGTTCTTTTTTGGAAACCAACACCTGCTAACTAGCTGAAGCACAGTAGGAGTAATTGCTGCTCTTTTATTCTGATGCAGTCTGCCTGGGTTAGGATTCCAAAAACCTTTACAATATACCTTTTCCTATGCATAGCTCGATAAAGAGTGGCTCTGACAACTTACACCAACAGGTATGTTCAAAAATTTGAAATGTTTACACACAATGAGCAGACCTAGATCCAGTTGCATGAACTTTCCACCTCCTTTTGTGTACGTTTTGATAAGTCTAACACTGCATTTAAACTGAAAATGGACATTTTTCGTAGTGTAGTGCATCAGTTTATCTCGGCTTCCTCAATCTCGGCCCTCCAGATGTTTTGAGACTACAGTTCCCATCATCCCTGACCACTGGTCCTGCTAGCTAGGGATCATGGGAGTTGTAGGCCAAAAACATCTGGAGGGCCAAGGTTGAGGAAGCCTGGTTTATCTCCTTGGAAAACAGTACCTTTTGCACAGGAAGAGGCCACTGAAAAGAAGCAAAACAAATATTTTCCTGTTACCTAAAATATATAGGTTGGGATCCAAAGAGCTACCTTGGGCAGATACAAGGCTTGACCTCTAGGATTTGTAAGTTTGAGCAGCAGTCGTCTCATGGACTGCTTTTGAAAGTGCTCTCCATTTCCAAAATGGTATGCTATGTAGCAGTGCTATTTTTCTAGAAAAAGAGGTTCCGGAACTCACCATGAACGCCTCCCTCTTTCTCTTAGAATAGCAAAGGCACCCATCTGAGAGGTGCTGGAACTGAGTTTCGGTGAGTTACCCCTGAAAAAAGCCTTGCTATGTGTCATGGTAGGCTGTTGCTTGAGGAACATGTACTCACAGCCCCCGTGGATACGTATAACTTGTGTAATTATTTCATTGCCAGACATTGTACGTGCATTACATACGTAAGGCACAATCCAGCCAGAGTTTATCATTTTTAAATTTGTTGAGTTTAATGCGTGAAGCATTCCCCTGCTGAAATAAAATCAATGGGCTTGATTATGCTTATACTTTTTTTAAAAAAAGTTGGAAGTTAAAGTTGGAAGTTGGAAGGAAAGGGACTAAAAGACAAAAGATGCAATGTGTTTAGAGAAAAGAATTATTTGGCATTCAGTTATAAACTTAATCTTCTCAGTCACAATTTTGCCTAATGATCCTGCCAAATTATTTGAAAACATTTCTGTTGCCTAATTCAGCTGCTCTGTTAGCGCTTAACAATAGTTCTGTGTATAGGAGTCTTCCTCTTTCCTCCTTTTGGTGCAGTTATAAAGAGAATACGCATCTCCTTTTTCAACTAGCAGCTGCTTGCTGTTAGGATCAAGCCCCAGGAACTGTGGTTAGTGTTAACAACAGTGTATTCAAAACAACCCAGGATCACTAACCATGGCCAGTTACCTGAAAATGAAAGCAAAAATGTCCTGATCTCCTCCTTATAACCATGCTGACAAAGGAGAAGGCCCTTAAAATAAAAAGCAGGGGACTGAAGGGTAGGGTGTTGCAATGATACTCAAATTTTCTATTTCCCTTGCTGAAATACCCCTTGCTCATGGGGGTTGGGCTTTGATGACATACATTTGGTGTTGGGACAAAGAAAATGTTTGGGACTGCTGCTGACTGTGCCACCTGCCTTTAGTCTCGCAGTGGAATGGGTTGAAAGTTGGACACAGTGTTTTGCAGTGGTTCTGCTCTTACCTGCAGGGCCAGGTCTAGAGAGTAAATACTTCAGCTCCCTGGCAGTTATGCTGTAGGATGCTGCAAGGCTCTATCTTGTCTCCAGTGGTGTTCAACATAGGTACAAAACTGTCAGGGGCAGTCATCAAGAGCAGGGGTCAGCAACCTTTTTCAGCCGTGGGCCGGTCCACCATCCCTCAGACTATGTGGTGGGCCAGACTATATTTTTTTTGGGGGGGGGGATGAACGAATTCCTATGCCCCGCAAATAACCCAGAGATTCATTTTAAATAAAAGCACATTCTAGTCGTGTAAAAACACGCTGATTCCTGGACTGTCCGCTGGCTGGATTGAGAAGGCGATTGGGCCACATCCGGCTTCTGGGATTTAGGTTGCCTACCCCGATCAAGAGGTTTGGAGCCCAACTTTATTCCTCTCTTACATCTAAATCAAGTGTGGCTCTGCAAGTCCTTAATAGTTGACTGGGTGCTGTCCAGTAAGCAGAGGCAAAGTCTTGATAAGACAGTTTCCTTGTCAGTGGGTGGGTGGCTCCTGTCTCTTGGAATTAGGTGGTTTTAATGGGGTTGTCACCACCCAAAGGAAAAGGTGCACAGTGTGAGGTATGCCTTGATCCACTATTGATGCTGGAGGTCTAGGTGGCCAACCACACTGGTTATTAACACGTTTTATCATCTATCTACCTGCTCACTCAGATCTTCCAGTGAAGTTCTTCTGCTTGAGTCCAACTTGTGACAGCCAGGAGGATTTTCTGTCCTGTTACTTCTAAAAGCTCCCCTATTAGATATATGAGATATAAGGTAAATCCCTAGTGCTCTTGGTTCTTGGCACTTGCTTAAAAGTTTACTTTTTCTCCTGGACCTTTGTTGGTGATTAATACCAGTGTGTGGAGTTTATCCTGACTGCTGCATTTATTCTATTCTGAAAGTTTTATTGAACTACATTGCGACATCTATGAAAGCTAATATAAATTATTTTACATAGATAAATAAATGTTTTTTATTTACCTGCTTTAACTATTAAGCTCATTGCTCTGAGTTCTTGTGATTGGAGAGGAGGGGGCAGGCAGGAGAAATCCCTGTAATCTCCAAGAGAATTTGGAAGGAGGACTCAAATGTGTAGCGGCTGGCATTGTGAAAGAAAAGGAAGTATCTAGTGACTAGATCAGGTCGCCAGGAAGATTACTCCCTGGAAGGTTGTATTGTGCTCTCAGGAAGTTAAAACATTAACTGTGTTAACATGAGAACAAAGGGTTTTTTCCATTCCAAAGGAAGAAACTAATAGATATAACAGACAAAATAGTGTATTAGCAAAAAAGGACAAATTGTTCAAGGGTAATGCCCTAACACCTACCGGTATAATATTTATCCCTATTTCTTTCTTAAATTCAGAAGAAACTGAAATAGCTGGCTTTTGACACAGTATGCTTTGTGGGTAGGAGGAAGAGGTGAGATGTATTGTCTGTATTGCAGCCTTGCCCAACCTGTGGTGCCTGGGGCTGATGGTGGCTCTTTTCAAACTCTAAAGCGTGCAGAGGCTACCAGGTTGGCGAAGGATGCTGTACTGAGTAGTAATTGTGACTTCAGCTCTCATGAGTTAGTGTACTGTAGTACTGGGTGCTGTTTGAGTGTTGTTGTTGTTTAGTTGTTTAGTCGTGTCCAACTCTTCGTGACCCCATGGACCAGAGCACACCAGGCACTCCTGTCTTCCACTGCCTCCCGCAATTTGGTCAAACTCTTGTTGGTAGCTTGGAGAACACTGTCCAACCATCTCTTCCTCTGTCATCCCCTTTTCCTTGTGCCCTCAATCTTTCCCAACATCAGGGTCTTTTCCAGGGAGTCTTCTGTTCTCATGAGGTGGCCAAAGTATTGGAGCCTCAGCTTCATGATCTGTCCTTCTAGTGAGCACTCAGGGCTGATTTCCTTCAGAATGGATAGGTTTGATCTTCTTGCAGTCCATGGAACTCTTAAGAGTCTCCTCCAGCACCATAATTCAAAAGCATCCATTCTTTGGCGATCAGCCTTCTTTATGGTCCATCTCTCACTTCCATACATCACTACTGGGAAAACCATAGCTTTAACTATACGGACCTTTGTTGGCAAGGTGGTCTCTCTGCTTTTTAAGATGCTGTTTGAGTAGCAGATGTCAAAACCTTACACAGCTATGAAGCAACCTTGTGTCAACCACTTCTTAGTCTGCTCTGCCTCACAGGGGGGGAAATCAGCCCTATGGTTCCTTTAAGACTTAAAAGAATTTATTATGGCATAAGATTTCATGAAGTTGGGTCTGCTTCATTGGATCCATGAAGTGATTGTTGTGAGGATAAAATGGCAGAAAACCCATATAGTCTGGATTGAATTCAAAGTTTCCATGCCATTCGCAGAAAAGGAGACTTTTAATGAGCGGGGCAAAAAAACTTTGGATTCAATAAACTGCCTGAGCTATTTGGAGGAAGACTGAAGTAGAATGCGGTATCAAAGGAGGTATTCTTTTTCATGATCCAGGTGTTCCATTCTTACAGAATCTACAATTTGCACAATTTTCATTTGCAAAAAAACCAGATTCCTTTGTTTCTTAAATATTGAGTTAATTATACTGTGCAAATGTGCACCTCTTTTCCATTACTTGCATTTTGAGATGTCATTTTTGAATGCCCCCTCTTCACTTGGAAAGTAGTAGTATTGTGAACCTGCTCTCTGATGTCTATGCCAGCTTTCTACTTGTGTTGTTTTGTTGTTTAGTCGTTTAGTCGTGTCCGACTCTTCATGACCCCATGGACCAGAGCACGCCAGGCACTCCTGTCTTCCACTGCCTCCCACAGTTTGGACAGACTCATGTTTGTAGCTTCGAGAAAACTGTCCAACCATCTTGTCCTCTGTCGTCCCCTTCTTCTTGTGCCCTCCATCTTTCCCAGCATCAGGGTCTTTTCCAGGGAGTCTTCTCTTCTCATGAGGTGGCCAAAGTATTCTACTTGTATTCTAAAGTATTCTACTTTCTACTTGTAGGGCACATTAAAATAAGCCACCATCACCCCTGAATTGCAGTTGGAAGTGGTGCATCCCATACTATCACTTCAGGGCTCAAGCACTACATTCTCACCTTGTTCATATATATACACTAAATCGATAATTACAGGCATTTTTCTCTTTGTGTGTGTGTGGATAATAGCCTTTATTTAATAATTTAAAAATAATCTTTAAAAGTCTGTGTGACCAGAAAATGTGTGTATTGCACAGCGACTATCATAGGCCTGCTGCAGAAGAGTGGGTAAAACTTGTTTCGCGCACATGCATGTCCTTTATTTGATAGTTGCAACATTAAGTGATTGATTACTTCTGATTTAATAGAGTATCACAGATAAAACTTCAGTATCTTTCCATATAATAAAAATGTAAGAATGTCATTGCATGCAGGCCACATTGTAGTGCCACATCACAATCCCAGTTTTACATGAAGTCAGGGTGGGGTAGAAGCTACAACAGGAAAAGTGATAGTTTAAAACAATGGCAGAAGTTTGAGTAAAGTGAGGGTGGCGATACACTGAGAGGAAGAAAGTGGCTACAACTTAGTTGAAGTATATACCGGTATGTGTGTGTGTGTGTTAGGAGGTTAGTCTGGCATTCCTTTTTTCAAGGCACTACTCTAGCCAAAATACAGCATTTAACATTAATTTATATAAACATTTCTATCAAATATTTCAGCAACCTGAGCTATCTTCATAGAGTTTGACAATTTGAATAATAAAGCCTTCAGTTTATTAAATAGCGCTTGCAAGTAATATTGATTATTTCTTTCTTTGTGTTCAGACTCAAAACCAATTGTTTCCTTCAGTTTGCCTTGTGGGAGCATGAAATTAGGAACATATGCATGCTAATTAACAACATATGAAGGATAAATTGTGATTGCTGTCTTGGTCTGGTGCACAGGCTATGCTTTGCGGGGTAGTGATTTCCTACCTCCAAGACCCAATCTATAACACTGGTCAACAACAAATTTGTTGTCTGCGTTTTTTCAGCTGATTTAGGACGAAACTGATGCACTGAATCCAAAAATCACATTGGTTTTGCTCAATCAGGTCAAGTTTTTTAGTTATGGCCACATGTCGTTTTTTTACATTTTTGTTCACATGTACGCTTGTGTGGAGCATTTTAGAAGTTGGTGCGGGTAAAATGCCACATCGAATAATTGTTTTGATTGGAAATGATTATTTTAATGACAAGAAGTATTCAGGTCCGATAGTTCTGGGTGATTATGTCGAAAAGGGATCAGTTTGAAGTCATAAAACCTCGAAATCTTCCATAAATTGGTGTGGCAAAGCATAAAGTTGGGGGATCAAAACCCCTGGCTCACTTGAGTACACTGAAGGAGAACTATGAAGCGGTGAAGTATGTGCTGGAGAAAATTATGATCAGCATAAGTGGTTTATTTGTGTTGACCTGAAGATGGTGAACTTTTTGTTGGGACAACAGTCTGGCTTCACCAAGTACCCATGTTTTCTGTGCATGTGGGATAGTAGGGACCGTGCTCAGCATTACACGAAGAAGGACTGGCCTGTGCGGGAGGAATTGGTGCCTTGCAGAGAAAGGAACGTCATCAACGACCCTCTGGTGGACAGAGACAGAATACTCTTCCCACCACCACACATCAAGCTCGGTTTAATCAAGCAGTTCACCAAGGCTCTGGACAAGGATGGTGACTGCTTCACTTACTTGTGCCAGGCTTTTCCAGGATTGACCATGGAGAAGTTGAAAGCTGGCATCTTTGACGGTCCTCAGATCCGTCAGCTCATCAGAGATCCAGAGTTCAGAAACTCAATGAACGAAGTGGAACTGGAAGCGTGGAAGGCATTTGTTCTGGTAGTGAAGAACTTTCTTGGCAACAATAAGGCCAGAAACTACGCAGAACTTGTCAACAACATGCTGACTGCTTTCAGAAACCTGGGCTGCAACATGAGCGTCAAGATGCACTACCTATTTTCACATATGGACCGGTTTCCTGAGAACCTGGGTTCAATGAGTGACGAGCAGGGGGGAGAGATTCCATCAGGACATGAAAGAGATGGAGACCAGGTATCAGGATCGCTGGGACGCAGTCATGATGGCTGACTACTGTTGGACTCTGAAGAGAGACCTCCCTGCCGCTGAGCATTCCAGGAGTTCCAAGAAACGGAAGTTCAAGCCCTGAAGTTTGAAAAACGGTGAAGCAACATGCAATTTACGTGTACTTACCTTTATCAATGCCCACCATTCAGTTTACAGTAATCAATTTTTCTATCAGGTAATCAATATATGTTGTTGGAAAAACATTTTTTTCTCTTAAAAACATATTTAGGATGATATGTGTTGACAAAAATCAGCTGATAATGCCACAAAAATGTAATTGATTTTGTCACAAGATCTGATTTTTTCCAAATCAACATAGCACAAAAACCGGACCTGATGGAGAGAAACAGATGCCATCTCCTGATTCAGCAGTGCAAAAATACCCTAAATCAGTTGTAGAAATCTAGACAACATTCAAAAAGTAAAAAATTGTTGCCCAGTGTAATTAGTGCAGGCACAGATCTAGGTGTTTAATAAGGATGTTAAAACTGATGGCATGTCTTTGTGCCTGTCTCTCCACATTATTTAATTTTTGTGACTTTACATGGGATGGATTTGTAATATTGGAATGGGTCTAGAGTTTACACCTTTTCTTTTTGAAGAGTCTGTTTGATGTAACTTGAGATCCATCTTGCATAGTCAAAATACGCTTCATTGTGATAAATCTCAATCTCTTGTTGAGTTTTCTTTGGATGGTTGTTTGTTGTTGGACTATTGTTCTTTCATTGTTGCTCTAATCTGAAAAAGAAATCACACACACACACACACACACACACACACACATTATGGGAAGTATAACATCTGAAGTGTAGAACTGCAGCTTTGGGCTCCTTTAGAAACATGGGATACTATTTGTGGCAAATCTGAAAGTACAAAATAACAGAGACATTTTCTGATATTGGGCCTTAGGAAAACATTGATCACATAAATTAATCAGTTCTTTTTCCTGATTGATAAAGGTAGGAATTATTAGTAATTCACTGACTCACTACATATTGGTTAGAAAGGGGACCTGAATTAAGCTGCTATAGATAAATTCCCTCCTGAAATGAATCATAGAATCATAGAGTTGGAAGAGACCACAAGGGCCATCGAGTCCAACCCCCTGCCAAGCAGGAAACACCATCAGAGCATTCCTGACATATGGTTGTCAAGCCTCTGCTTAAAGACCTCCAAAGAAGGAGACTCCACCACACTCCTTGGCAGCAAATTCCACTGTCGAACAGCTCTTACTGTCAGGAAGTTCTTCCTAATGTTTAGGTGGAATCTTCTTTCTTGTAGTTTGGATCCATTGCTCCGTGTCCTTATGAGAAGCCATAAGCAACACCTTTTATTGAAAAAATGCTGTATAATTTCATTTGGCATTCAAATCGAGAAGCTGGAATGTGAATAATTCCTTAGGCTCTAGCCAACTTAACTCCTTTCCCATGTTTCTTCACTTTGTTTCTGAGTCAGTAGCTGCTCTAGAGAGTAAGTTCAGTGAACAAAGTCAGGGATTTCCTGTTGTGGGCCCTGAAATGGTTTATGCTTAAGGATCTTTGCCTTTCTCAGGTGACTGAAACTTGGTTTTGTGCATGATTCACTGGCTTAGGGGTTAGCAAGTCTAGATAAATTATTAATACTGATCCAGCACCTCTTAAATTTAATGGGAACTTTGCTTTAGATCTCTGATTCCGGAAGCTCTTATTTGGCAAGGAATGCAAAACCATTATTTTTTACTTTGGACACTTATAATTAATCGTGGGTTACAAGTCATGTCCATTGGAAATAAATGTTCCTCCTCCTCCTCCTCCTTCTCTGGCGATCACTCGTAGCCGAGTAAGACTGTCTTCCATAAACACTGTTTTAACAATGAGTCCATAAGTGACTGTGGAGGCCAATTCTGGATCCACACGTCCTTCCACAGTGGGGACATTGGTTTCCGGGCGGGAGTTGATCACAGTGTGGATTTGCCAAGAGTGCCTTCCTCTTAGCACGTTTCCCCATTACGTCCTGAGTTCGAATGTCTTCAAAGCCCCAGGATACCTTTGGTAAAGGCTGTTCTCCAACTGGAGCGCTCACAGGCCAGTGTTTCCCAGTTGTCTACATTTTTTTAGATTTGCCTTGAGACAGTCTTTAAACCTCTTTTGTTGACCACCAGCATTACCCTTTCCATTTTTAAGTTCAGAATAGAGTAGTTGGTTTTGGAAGACGATCATCAGGCATCCACACAACATGACCAGTCCAACGAAGTTGATGTTGAAGAATCATTGCTTCAACACTGATGATCTTGCCTTCTTCCAGTAAACTGATATTAGTTCACCTGACTTCCCAAGTGATGTGTAAAAATTTTCGGAGACACCGTTGATGGAATATTTCGAGGAGTTGGAGATGGCGTTTATAAGTGGTCCATGTTTCACAAGCATATAGTAAGGTTGGTAGTACAATCGCTTTGTAAACAAGCATTATGGTTTCCATGCGAATGTCCTGGTCCTCAAACACTCTGCACGTCAATCGGGAGAAAGCTGCACTCACAGAGCTCAGGCAGTGCTGGATTTCGGCATCAATGTTGGCCCTTGTGGAAAGATAACTGCCTAGGTAGGAGAAGTGATCAACATTTTCCAACATTACACCATTGCGTTGGATTTGTGGCGCTGCAGAGGGGTTATTTTGTACTTGTTGGTGCAGCACTTTGGTTTTTTGGATGTTGAGTGTTAGGCCAAGCTTTTCGTAAGCTTCTGCAAAGATATTTAGGATGGTTTGGAGGTCATCCTCTGAGTGTGCACACACTACGTTGTCATCAGCATACTGAAGCTCTATGACGGAAGTTACGGTAACCTTACTCTTTGCTTTCAGCCTGCTCAGATTGAAGAGCTTTCCATCTGTTTGATATATGATTTCTACTCCGGTGGGGAGTTTCCCTTCGACAAAGTGTAGGACCATGGTAATGAAAATAATGAATAGAGTTGGGGCAATAACACAACCCTGTTTAACACCTGATCCCACTGTGAAAGGTTCACTTTGAGAGCCATTGTTATCTGTGATTGTTGCTGTCATATTATCATGGAGGAGCCGAATGTTTACGAATTTATGGTTCAGTGAACTATGGCTAGTTTACAACCATACATGCATATACTGATGAGATATAAGACCTGGTTAATATTATTATTGCTCTTAATATTTCTCAGATGACTTGTTTGAAAAAGATCAAGGAGACTTCCAGGAAAAAGTACACAATATAAAACAAAACAATTTAAAAAGCAACAATTCATTTAATACAAAAAACCCTATTGTTTTGTGCCCCATAAAAATGGACAGAGTCAATTTAGCTGCGTTACAGAAAGGTACACTCTCTTGATGGTTTTTTTCTTGTTGAATTTGATCTTTGGCAAAATTCTACAACTCTTTGTGGCTTCACAGTAAGGTACAATTTGTACCATAGGTTCTGCTGCCTGATTTCAATCGTTTGCGCTTTGAATCTGCATGGATTGGCCTTCATGAAATTGACCTCTTTCTGTGTACCAGTTACTGATTATATCCATTTATTAGCCTTTACAAGTAATTTCTTCACACTGTTTACATAACACTATCATTTATCATTCTATGTTATAGACTTTCAACTGCATTGTTGTTTGCAAGCTTTTGTAGTTAGTATTTCAACTTCTGTTAAGCTAGCATACTCCTAAAACTCAGAGGATTGTTTCCCACTCAATGAAACTTGGGGTCAATTCATTTTTGTGTGTGTGTTACCTCTCAGTTCTGGTGTGTAGACCAAAGGATTTTTATAGCAAAAGCCCCAGGCAAGAGAGACTTGCTTTTCAGCAATAATCGGAACAAATTAAAAGCTGCCCATAAGTTCAACTAATGTTAGTGGCTAATTGACAGGCTGTGCAGTCCCGAGGCAATACATTTACATTTATAGTTAAAGTAAGATATACCTGAAACAAGTCTTAATTGCGAGCTAATTAAATAGTGTAGCTGCGTGGTAGTTTGAATTTCAAGCCCATGTGTCTGTAGGTGTTTTATTAAACTCATATGCTTGGGGAACAAAGTAGTATGCTTTCAAGTTCAAAGCTTATAAAGGAAATGACCATAACAGATAGGCACTTATTAGTTTAGCCATTGGCCAATTTAAGGTCCTTATTCATTAGTTAGGCCTCTGGCTGTGTTGCAGAGGCTTGGGGCCAAATAGTATATACCTGGCACTTTCATCCTGAATACCAAAAAAATAATAACTAAAATAGCAACATTTCAAGTGGGCCTCATTTGCAAATAAATTGCAATTGTTGTTCTTAGGACTTCTGGCAGCAGGTCCTGTTCGAATGACTCACAACAATACTTCACTTATGCTTTCATGTTGGAATACTTTTGAAAATGTATTTATTTTCTTTCGTTTATCTTCCACCTTTCTTCCATCAACTCAACAAAGTTATGAAAAGGGTTGAGATAGAATTCTGTACTTACAAATTGGGAATAATAGCTAACTAAATTAGTTGAAGTCATTCAGAAAAGAGTTGGGACAAATGGTATAGCATTTATAAAGTTCTCAGTATATTGCAAAACACTAGCCATTAAAGTAGTATAAAGAGGCATTCATATCCAGATTGAAAACATAGTGTAAACAAACTCAGCCCTTAATAGTCATTCATGATTTGGGGCCAGTCACTGTCTCTCAGCCTAACCAACCCTCAGGGTTTTTGCGAGCATAAAATCAGAAAGGGGAGGACCATAGACACCAGCTTGAACTTCTTGTAGAGATTGTGGGATATAACTGTAACCAATAAATATTTTCAAAACATTTAATTTTGATAAGCTGCTTTTTAGGGCTAGGACCTAACGAAAAACATGACTGCTCCCAAACAACCCTGGGAACTGTTAAGATTTCTGAAAATTGTAGCTCTGTGGGGCAAACTACACTTCCCAGGACTATTTGCAGGAAGCCAGGTGCTTTCAGTCTTTGGTGTATGCACAAGCTTTTCTGCTAGGCTTTTGATTTATTTTAATTACTACCTGCTCTATTTTGCGCACTTGGTGTTTAAATGTTCTCTTTTGTCATTCTTTGGTATTTTAAAGTTCTGAATCGCCTGGGGCAGGAAGTTAAAGGCAGAAAAACAGTACATAAACCAACAGAAGTGAAATGGATAGCACCGTGCTACCTAAGTATGGTGGTAGCACATTTTGAAAGGTCAGTTCTTCTGACTCTGCTTGGCTTGGTGTATAGCTGTTGTGGTTTTAAAACACACACACACTCACACACTGCTCAGCCCAACACATTAAAGAAGCCTTTCTGCACCATTCAGAGACCGATAATTCTCCTCAGGGTGCCTCCTGAAGCAAAATCACTTCTTCACGCTGCTGCCTGGCAGGGCCAGACCCCCACAGGAGCCATGTGCTGAGGCAGTTATGAATGCAGAATACTTTAACCTGAGGAGGCTGACAAAGAGGATCTTTGATAAGCTGCACATGTTGACTCAATGCTGCATTGTCATGTATAGAGGGGATTGTGAGAATGGGCATTGCTCTTGACACCAAATAGTATTCAGTGTTGCAGTATAGCTCACCTTGTTCTTTCTCCTTTTTCAGCAGTGTGTTTTCCTACTAACTAGGCCCTGGAATTATCATCAGAGGATTGATGCAGATTGTATGGTGCTTTCACACAGCAACTAATTCAGTCCTGACCACTATGGCCTATGTTCTCTGTGGCAAGCGCTCGTAACGTAAAGTGGATGAGTTTACCATAGGCCAACAACAAACCCACTATAGTAAAAACATTTCCCCCACCCTTTTTGTGGCTGGCCTGTGTTCTTGTTTAGTAGTAAATGACTGAAAAGGTTTTCATCTGCTTCTAACAAGGCATAATTTAGCGACAACAGAAGAGACTACTGGGAGGTAATTTTGCCTCCTTCCTGTTTCAGGAAACCTTTTTAAACTTGATATGCTCAAACCTAAAGATAAGATAAGCAAATGAAAAGGCAACTAGACAGGGTAGCCAGATTACAAGGTGCACTCTGAAAGCACTAAACAGTATCTGTTTTGATCCTTTAAGTAGCAGTTTACATCTCCTTAAAAGAGATTTGACTCAGATGCTAATTACAGCCGGATGCATTGTTTCCCCTTCCCTACACCTGCTTTTGACTTTTAAAGTTGGTGAGCAACACTGCAGGTTTATACATGCTTCTGATGATACAGAATCCTTTTGTTTAGTGCAGCACTGTTACCAAACATGGCCTCCTGCAAATTTGCAGGAGCGTGTCTAATCGAGACACACTATGTTTTGCAGTTGCTTAAACCCCTATGAAGGACTGGGGGATAGGCCATAGCTGAATGGTATGTGTTTTTCACCCCAGGTTCAGTCTCTTGTTACAGTGGTACCTTGGGATGCGAACGGGATCCGTTCCGGAGCCCCACTCGCACCCCAAAGCGAACGTAACCCGTGTCCGCGGGTCACGTTTCAGCGCTTCTGCGCATGCGCGTGACATCATTTTGATGGTCTGCGCATGTGCGCGCGGCGAAACCCGGAAGTAACGCGCTCCATTACTTCTGGGTCGCCACGAAGCGCAACCCGAATTTGCCTAACCCGAAGCATATTCATCCCAAGGTATGACTGTATAAGGTTTTTTAGGTAGCAAGACTGAGAGAGATTCTAGAGAGCCACTGTACCATCAGGATAGACCAGGGGTGGAAATGCTTTTTTGCCTGCGGGCCATCACATGTAGCACTGGAAAGACACACTTGTCGGCTGGCTGTTGAAGCATCCAACCTGGATGACAGCCCAAGATGCAAGTAGCTGGTTATACTACACACTGCATTGGAGCCACTTGATACTACAGTGGAACCTTGGTTCTCAAATGTAATCCGTTCCGGAAGTTCATTCGACTTCCAAAACGTTCAAAAACCAAGGCGCAGCTTCTGATTGGCGCAGGCGCCCTGGAAACAATAGCCGACAACAACATCGGACATTCCGGTTCTGAAAAACGTTTGAAAACTGGAACACTTATTTCTGGGTTTTCGGTGTTCAGGAGCCGAAATGTTTGAGTACCAAGGCGTTCGCTCGAGAACCAAGGTTCCAATGTAAAACTTGTCCTTCTGTTGCTAAGACAGTAGAGACACAATTGTCCCCAAAGCAAGACCAATATCTTTCACACGGCTACTGAAACCCACAACTGTGACTTGCATAGCTTGTTGCTCCTGCTTTATAAGAAGAGGACTGAATGGAGCCTGAGGAAGAGATAGCGTGACTATGCATTTCTCTTGCTTGCCTATGTAGAAACCACTGACTCCTGTTTGGCTGCTGGAAGGTAGTTCCACCCCTTGCCCTGTCTACCACTGACATATGGCTCCGGAAGATTACAGTGGTACCTCGGGTTACAGAGTCTTTTAACCCAGAAATAATACCTTGGGTTAAGAACTTTGCTTCAGGATGAGAACAGAAGTCGCGCGGCAGCGGCAACAGGAAGCCCCATTAGCTAAAGTGGTCCTCAGGTTAAGAATGGACCTCCGGAACAAATTAAGTTCTTAAACCGAGGTACCACTGTACATTTGAGTGAATGTGACTCTCAGACTAGAAAAGTTTCTCCTTCTCTGCTTTGTAACCATACACCTATTAGCATACATCCCTTGGGAGGAACTTACAGAGGACTGCTGAGTAATAAATAATAATTGTATCTCACTGGGATTCCTGTACATGTTTTGTGAGCACAATTAGTATTCGTTCGTAACCTAATACTACCAGAAGTTTGATTTTCCATGTTTTATTCATTTTATTTTATTTATTGCATTTATATCCCACCTTTTTCTCAGAGGAGCTGGGGGTGGTGTACATGGTTCTCCTCCTCTTCATTTAACCCCCCACAACAACCTTGTTAGGTAGGTTAGGCTGAGAGGCAGTGACTGGCCCAAGGACACCCAGTGAGCTTGATAGCTGAGTTGGGACTTTAGTGGGGCCTCTCAGGTCCTAGTCTAACGCTCTAACCATTACTCACACCACATGGCTTTAGAAAATATGGAATGCTTTTAAAATTGGCATCCTGTTAAAATGGATAACAGTTTTCCTCTGAGCTGGTAAGAGTATTTGGCATCTTAAAGCAATGCTTGAACAGTAAAATCCCAAGCCAGTAAATAGTCATAATTGGTCAGGTATTAGTGCTTTATAAACAGTGAATGTCTGATCAGCAGCTGATTTAAATTTTAACGTGGAATGGCTGGAAGCTGAAATGCAGGATCACTCAGAACAGTTCTCCAATACATTCCCACAGGATGAAAAGCCTCTTAAAGTGAAAAACAAACTTTTAGCCTGGAGTTCCTAACCTAAATTCACTTGTGTTGCAACTCTGTAGGAGGTAGGGAATGAATTTAATCCATTGATTGTACTGAGAGAATAGAAAACCGTGCTTGGTTTTCCTACCACAATTATAGAGGCCAAGAATAGTGCTGAGGGGTGGTTTAAAGAAGCTGCCCAGGCAGGTTTTGCAAAAGCTTTGTGAAAGAAAGGAAATAGTCAACTGTAGTTAGATAATATAGCTATTATTTTCATTATTCATTCTTGAGTATCAATTTTTAGTGGTAGTACAAGATGTACAAAGTGTTGGAACAAGGGTAGATATTCTATGTAGGCTGCAAATTCAGATGTCTGAAAATGCAGTTTTCTTTACTGAAGAGTCTTCAAGTGCTGATGTGCCTCATTCCCAAGTTATGCTATCACAGCATTACTTTAATCTCAGTTAAGCTTGTTCTATGCGATCTTTATTTTATTTACCTGAAGAATAAGTGTGTGTGTGTGTAGCTAATTTTTCACATGTTCTTGATTCTATGTGTGCAACCTAAATGCATTAAATAGCTATCACAGTTGTATGGATTTCATACTTGTACTTGGTTTCTTCCTGACTTCTGATCTGGACAGGTACTCCTAACAAAAGATCACTTGAAGCACAATGCTTTCCAGTGGAGGCAATTAACGTTCAGCTAAAGTCATCAGAGATGGAAGAGCCAAATGAATTCATGTGTGAGCTAAGGCCAAGTTATCTTCAAATTCAAACTTTTCTCTTGTTTCTCTGTAGGCTTTATCTCCAATTGGAAAGAATCCCGGATTACTTAATATCACCTTTAAGTATGACAGTAAGTTCTCCTTCCTGTTTCCTCTGGAAACACATTTACTCATTTCATTTGTTAATGTATTAAATGAGTTTTAAACACCATGTATTGAAGTAATCTTTTTTTAAAAAAAAATCAACAGTGATAATAGAGAATTGTTGAATTAGCACATTTTATTTAGTTAATCTAATTATTTAGAGCAGAGTGGCTAATCTCGCAGATGTTGTCGAGCATCAGCCTTAGCCAGCTTTGTCAATGATCTCATCATGGGAGTTATATTCCTGCAGGATTTGGAGGGCCAGAGGTTAATGCACCTAATGTAGGCCTGTTACAGGTAACAACATAAAAAACTGTGTATGCATAATATGTGTGTCTACCCAAAACTTGCCTCCCCAGCCATTTATTTCATGTCATTTATAACCCACCTTTCTGCAAAACAAAGCATTCAAAGCAGTGTACAAAGACAGTTTGTAACAACAAAGACGATTAAAATGATAAATCAATAAAAAGCAACCTCACCAGAACAAATAAACAAAACAGTAAAATTCAGCGAGCTCTGGTAACTGAGGGATGCCTGTTTGAATAAGAATTGTCTTAAGTTGCTCATCTAGAATGGAAAGAAGCCTGCTGGATCTCACTAGGGATGGTGCTTTAACTGTAGCAACACACTTGTTCACTGAGAAGAGAATTAAAGGGCTTTAAGCTACTTACATGCTATGGCATGCTTATGCAAATAAGGCAGATGATACTGGTTTTTACTGGATCTTTGGTTGGGTTTTGGAAGAAAGGAAGTCCAAGGGAGCCATTCTTGCATACTCTCACTATTGTAGTGATACAGGGTATTTCATAACGACTACAGCCTTCCTCACCATGAGGAAATAACAGAGACTAGAGAGCCAGGCTACGATCCACCCATGTTTAACCCCATAAAAGTGAATAATTTACAATGTTAATTCTTGCTGAATTGTGTTTCCTTGTTAACATTGGACCCTATCTCATAGTACATAAAATTTTGTCATTAATGGTTTATTTCTAATGTGGACCATGGATACCTTTTTCCCGCCTTTCCATAGTCGGTATTCTTAAAAGCTATTTTCTGTCAAGTACAAAAGATTTATTTACCCGAGATCTGTTCTTTGTTCTCCTGAAAAGAAATCAAAAGTAATGGAATAAAATTGTCATTTTTCAGCATACAGCCTTAGCAACAGGAATCCAAAAATGGAAAGCTAGCTATTAATTTGATCCAGATGTTGCAGGAAGCTCTTGCTCAAAACTTCCTATTAAAAGACAGGTTTCTATTTTTGCTAATAGGAAGCACTTGCTGTCCTTCATTTGAATTGTGCAGCAGAATAGGAGCTTTCACTAATTTATAGTTATATCACAGTGGTGATCTCAGAGCAGTCATTCTAGAGAACAGAATTATGAGGCTTGATAGATAGCAGGAACATCTTCTGCAGAACTTTTTTTAAAAAAAGTAAGCTCGTGAATGTGTTTTGCGTAAGGCCTGAATTAAATGTATTTCACCCGATTGTTCTTTCTTTAGACTGTACTCCTTATTTGAGCTCACTGGGAAAGCATGTAATTGGTGATGTACAGAACATTACTATTAGCCAGTATGCATGCTCTGATCAAGTTGCCGTGACAATACTGTGGACAGCAAATCCCATTGGTAAGTAGAATAAAAAAGAAATTGTGCTCATGTGCCCTTTGTAGTAGCAATTAGTTGATGACTTCTGTTCATGGACGCTTCAAGTAGAATTGTTATTGTCACCATCCGGGTCTTCTCAAATCTCCTGAAATTAATCCCCCTAAAATTTGGGCTAGAAACTTGAGAAACTTGGTTAGGAAAAGAGCTGCAAGCTGTCCAAATAAGCTAAACTAAGCACTCAAGCGTGAAGGACACTTATTTGCAATGTTTGAAATGGTACTCTTGCCATTTTTTAAAAAATGGCAAGTTCTGTACAATTGCTAAATCTTTAAGAAGTCCTTTGAAAGAAGTTGGGAGCATGTTTAACCCTCTCCCATTAAAATCACTGGTTCTTAAAGGTGCATAATTTGATTCATCCCCCTCTAGGTTAGATTATTTGTGCCTCTCCTGCTGTCCATTTACAATTGTGATTTGAGACATGCTTAATTGGAAATAGATTTTAGTGAATTCTTGTACCTGCTAAGAATAAAGTAAGGAAAGTATAAACAGCATTAAAAACAAAATTCAATGCAGGGATACACCTTACAGAACAATTGTGTCTTTCAGTGTGTGTTTAAATCTGTTAGCCTTTCAAAAGGGCTGAGGTCATGAACCGATTATAGAAATGTACTTTGCTGAAGAATTAGTAAATATATTTTGTGGAAATAGAAAAATGCCTAAAGCTTGATAACATGCAGCTTACCGCTGATGAATTTTGAATTGAAAACAATGAGCAGATAGAGAGAAGGAATGTGGAAGTGATACTCAATGCTTCGAAGAGTGCAGAGTTACTGAATTGGTAATCTGCAGCTGCAGGTTTGGCTGCATCCAATCTCCACGGGATACAAAGCTTGGTGCTTTCTCTTGTAATGATCAGAGGTTAATCCTTCTGAAAGCATCAAGAGAGAACTGTAGTTGAAGGATCTCAGGTAACAGGGAGCCCGTTAACTCTTCTCTTTCATGGTCTATATGTTAGCACAAACACTGCTTTTGTTCCTCTAAATATTAAGAACACAGTGGGTGGCTCATTTGTATTTCCCATTGCAAGATCATTTAGAGCCCTGAAATAAGATATTTGTGTGTGTGTGTATGTATGCGTATATATATTTATATAGTTTCGAAACCTGCATTCAAACGCAACAAATATCCAGAGTTAAACTATGGTAATCCAGTTTTGGTTTAAGTACTTTTGGACTATGGGAGTGTCCCCCAGTCTTTATAAACACACACACAGTTATCAGGCGCTGTGCTTAGATTCTCTTTTCACTTCAGCCTCTTACTCAGAATCTGTTTTGTTCATGAATGGTATAAGCACTGTAGATTGCAAACTTAGCCTTTCTTCTGAAGTGTGTGTGATTTACAAGATTGTTTGTAGGCCAGTTATGCAAAGCACGTTGTCTTAAAAACAAAAAGAAAAAAACCCCACCCTTGTTTCTGAGCCTTATAACCATTTTTAACATGATCCTCATCCAAACCAAATTTCATCTGACGTTTTCAGTTGTTTTCAGAACTGTAGCTACTTTGAACACTTCTGAAATTCAGTAGGTGTTTTGGACTTTCTTCCTGTCTCCAAGCTTGAGGCCTGGGGCTCTTTCAAGTTGAATTGTACTTTGGAGGCACTGTTTGCTGTTCATGAGAGGTGCTCTCAAGTGCTTCTCAGCACATGCTCAGGGACACAGGCCTGGCATCCAAATGCCTTGGCTGTGTGCCAAGGTCAGACAACTTTTGTGGCTGCCTGCCTCTGAGCAGGATGTAAGCGCAGCTTGTGCTTATCATCTAGCAAATTTTTAAAAGTAAGGGCTACATGTGCTATTCTGTGCTACACGTGCTACATCAAAAAAGAAAAATACGGTTATTTGCATGTTGGCACCAGGCATTTTAATATCACAGAGCCTCTTCCAGCATTAGCTCAACGCTGTGGGAACCACTGTAGTGTGGCTTTTTCATATGATGCACCATTAACATTAACACCATTAACCATTAAGTTTTTTTGGAGGGGAAGGTCACATGGGAGGAACCAGCTGATGAATTTATATCCATCGTATATAAAACACACATACACATCCAGCCTTTAAATATGTATTTGATTTTTGTTTAAATATATGCAGGTATTGAATTTCTGAAGGGATTTCGAGTAATACTTGAAGAGTTAAAATCAGAGGGAAGACAATGTCAACAGTTGGTCTTAAAGGACCCAAAGCAGCTGAATTCAAGTTATAAATGGACTGTAAGTAGTGTCTTTTAAGGAAATAGTATTTTTTTCAGAAAGTTTTGAATAATTCGGGTAAAAAATCCAGAACTATTATTTTATGAGAAGCCTATTTGAAGTTAGTGGAGCTTCTTGGTACACGTGACTTTGATTATTAGAACACATTTTCCCTGTTTTTACCAGAGCACAGCATACTACTTCTCTTTGAAATATTCCCCTGCTTACCTCTTTGAACAAGGAAATAGTTCTATGAAGTGCCAGAAGGAAAGTGTATGACTACTTTGCGGGGGGGGGGTGCTTCTGATCAGAATATTATGGGACAAGCCAAGAGACTTCGAGCTTGTGTTTATACCAAGAACCAGCACTTTATGAGAGAGAGGCTTTTACAAACTCCTGACTCCCACCAGCCCTAGTTTCTGCAAAATCATGAACCCGCCTGTGCCCTCCTTAAGAGAGTAGTTAATTAAGTCATTCGAAAAAGTAAGGGGTCTAGTCCCCTTTTGGTTCCCATGTGCTTCAAGCACTTGCAAAGAAGAAAGATGGCAAATAAACATACTTGCACTCAAGTGACCATGCAGCAAGCTTTAAAATATGTTACTGGCTGGCTTTAATTTCTTTCTTCTCTTTCTCCCCCCCCCCCAACCATTTGCAGGGAGTGGAGTCTCAGTCTTTTCTCAATCTGAAATTTGAAACTGACTACTTTGTGAAGGTTGTCCCTTTCCCATCCATTAAGAACGAAAGCAACTACCACCCATTTTTCTTCAGAACTCGGCGTAAGTACATTGGCAATTGCGGCTTTCGGCTTTTAATGGTACCTGTGTCTTGCGTCTTAAGGAAAGCAGGTAGCAACTTGAAACGCCAAAGTTTCCACTTCCAGCTAAAATCTACTTCAAATAAATTTGGAGGCCTTGGAGAGAAAGATGGGAATGGGAATCAGAGTCAACAATACAGGAAGTGTTAAGAAATGTTTTGATACATTAATAATAAGTTCATTTAATGGCATTCAGATTGCTCTGGCCCTCCCCCCCCCATCTCCCAATGATTGCTTTTAGGAAGGTAAAATAGCATTATAAGGTTGTGCCTCTGCTTGTCACCTATCAGGATAAGATTCAAATGACAATTTCAGCCATCCTATGAGTAACCTGATTGTCTGAATCTATTTTTTCAAAGCTTGATGCTATAATTGCTTGATGCTACAATTAAGCAATTGGTTAGAGACCCTGGGGTTCTGTTTTTCTTCTTCTTCACTTAGTGAGGGTCACATGACTTGCTGGTGTAAAGGAGGTCCTGCTTTTTATATGATGCCCAGCAAATTTATGGGAAACTGCTATATTTGTGTAAGCTATTTGTTGGAATCCTTGACCTGCCTTATTCCAAGGACTCTAGGCAGGTAACAGATAAATAATTTTTTGACATTCTGAAGCCTGTGATATAATATATGATATAACCCAACCTGGACTCATCAAGGATGAAAGGAAGGATGTATACTTATTTGTAAAACCTGAGTTTTAAAGAATCCATTGTTTTTTTTCCTTGCTAGCCTGTGAATTGCTACTGCAGCCAGAAAACTTAGCCTGCAAACCTTGTAAGTATTTGCTCAGCATTCCTTGAATGAGGATTGTATAATTAATAATTTTCCTAAAATAGTAAATAATGTTTAAATATCTCTTCCTTGATAGTCTGGAAGCCAAGGAATCTGAACGTTACCCAGCAAGGCTTTAATATGCATGTGTCTTTTGACCATGCACCGCATAATTTTGGATTCAGATATTATTATCTGCACTACAAACTTAAAAACGAAGGACACTTCAAACAGAAGACTTGCAAACAGGTTGGCTCAGCATGATTTATAGCATGGTTCACAATGCTCTGTACATGAAACTGTTAAGCATAAAATTCCTGTAGGGACAAGTTTTTGAAAGAGAATCTTTGGACAGTTTCCTTTTTGAGCAGAACAAATAAAAATCTTCCGTACTGGTTGATAGGCATAAATATGTCACATGGTTTCTATATTTGTTCTAGCATTCTAACAGACCAGACAAAATTTTGCTGCATGAAACAGGTTCCAATGTGCTGGGGCTCATCTATGTTAAAATGTATCACACAAGAATATTGATTGTAGTTTAGTGGTGCCCAATGCTTTTTAGCAAATAAATTTGACTAACTGATAGCTAAGTGTTAACAGCTCTGTGCTGGCAGACCTAATTTCCAGCAGATTTAGGGCACAGTTCCTAAATACAGTCGTACCTTGGAAGTCGAACGGAATCCGTTCCGGAAGTCCATTCGACTTCCAAAACGTTCGGAAACCAAAGTGAATGGCTACAGGAAGCTCCTGCAGCCAATCGGAGGCCGTGGAAGCCTTGTCGGATGTTCGGCTTCCAAAAATAGTTCACAAACTGGAACAGTCACTTCCGGGTTTGCAGCATTTGGGAGCCAAAACGTTTGAGAACTAAGCTGTTCGAAAACCAAGGTATGGCTGTATATGAGTTAACAATGGCTGAAGAGCAGTAGGATTCAGCAGAAACTCCACTATGCTGATGAAATGAAAAACATGCTGCATCTCAACAGGCACACAGAATCTATGCACCCAACACACTGGAGTGGATGAACGAGGGCAGAGTTATGGGCACCCATTTCAATGGCAAAACAGCTTGCCAGTCCTAGATCTGGTGCCATACTTCTCTCTAAATAGACTGGCCTGTGTGGATTGGCTCCCTCTGTTTGTGGACATCATTTGGCATCAGCAGCAGCATGGCCTCTGATTAGGGAAGAGTGGTAGAATTTCCAGGAACTGTGTTCATGCATCTGTCATTTCGCCCCTCTGTTTTCCAAATTGCATGTTCCCTCCCAGATTGTGTTCTGGATATAGCAGACCTGCTGCCAGTGTATCTCTTGAGTGTGATGTAATATGAGTGTGGGGTTGCTGTCCTCATCAGTGTGCTTAAAGTGAACTTTCTGAGATGAGGTTCATTGATTATTACAGCTGAGTGGAGAATATGCTACGTTGCTCCCAGGAATTTCTAACTAGGAAAACCCATTGGGAACACTCCCACCAAAGTTGAAACATTTTGGAATGCAGTGGTTTTTTCAATAGGATAGATTTCACTGGGTGCCTGACTTCTCCATTGAAATCAATGGGATTTGAAAGTGCTCAATATTGCCTGGATCATGCCCACTGTGCAAAACTTGGATCTCTTTCAATCATTCTGTGCCACAACAATGGGATCTTAGCAGTTATTTCTATTCACATTGGATTGATCCACATAGAATAGGATAATACAGTATTTAGACTTTAGTACTGCAGCATGTAAAGTACTTGATAGCACAGACATACACCACAGTGTTTTCATCATATATCAGTATGCATGCATGCTATTTTTTTGAGAGTGAAAGTTGGGTTTAAATTTTACAAGTGCTCCTGCATTTTGGGGGTGGGGGTTGGGATTTTTGTTCTGGGTTTTTTTGCAACCTGAGAACAGTAAGCAATGTATCTGGGCTAAGGGTCGTTTAAAGTTGTACATCCTTCTATTGAATGCTAATGTAAGGTTTTCACCCAAAGGCCACAAGAACTGCAATTCTAATTTCCTTGGGTTAAATACTGATTGCTTTCTTCTTCTTCTTTTTTTAATGATATTTATTAAAATTTCAAAAAAAATTACAAGAATTACACAAAAACAGAAAATAAAAAATACAAGAAAATACAAGATACAGAAAAAGAATAACAAAACCCTTATTAAGATATAACAAAGGAATGAAAAATAAAAAGAAACATACAAAATAAAAACAGTTAAAAACATATTAATTTTCCATAGCATATCTTCCATACACTTATTTCCCCGGACCTCCTCGTACCTCCCTTTTTTGTATTCCAGTTCAGTTTGTTAGTTCAGCAAATCTTTACCATTAAGCTTTTACCCATTTGTGTACCTTTTTTCGTATCTCTTAAAGCATTACAGCTGGAAACCACTTAGTTTCTATCCAACACCCTTCTAAGATTCATTAATTTTACAATATTTCTGTAAATAGTCTTTAAATTTCTTCCAGTCTTCTTTCACCGACTCTTCTCCCTGGTCTCGGATTCTGCCAATACTGATTGCTTTCAATCATATGTATTTGTCTTTGGAATCTGCTCCCTTGGGCAGTCTGATACGCTTGGCTCTGAACCAGCTGAGCCAGTCTGAGAGTGCGGCAGAGTTCTCATTTGACTCTGGGAAGGAACACAGCTCTGTGTTCACTATTGGATTTTAGGTCATGGGCTCTGATTTCTTAATGTAAGACATTAAGTGGTTGGGAAAACCCAGCCAGATGGATGGGGTGAAAATAATAAATATTAATTCATTCATTCATTCATTCATTCATTTGATCAATGACTCCAAAGTCTTTGGGCTTAATAACATTGTTCTGTGTTTGCTTTTATTTGTACTGGGTGAATTTCAGATGCAGTATGAATTTCCAAACTGACTACTTTTTAATGGGAGTGCACCTTCTGCTTAGCATTCAAATACATACAGATGACTTATAAGAAAACAATTTATTTCATATCTCCGTAGGAAAAAAATACAGATGTCACAAGCTGTATTCTTCAGAATGTCTCACCAGGAGATTATATAATAGAGGTAATGCAATTATTTGTAGTCTGAGAAGTTGGGGCTCACAGAAATTGTTCTCCTTCAAAATAAAAGGTGTCAGCATTCTGCATCTCCTTTGAAGCTGGGAATGTAGTTAGACAATGCTATATCATTACATTACTGCCATGGTGAAAAGGTTGCTTATTTGCAAATAAAAAATAGGGGTGGTAGCTTGAAATCAAGCTATCTTTGTAACTCTTAATCCAAAGAAGAGTTTTAAACCTTGATTCTTATCTTATTAACACTAACATTATTTGTGGGTTGGAGAGACTCTTCAACATGTTTGAACTTTCCCCCCCCCCAAACATGTCTAATTAATTTCATAGCTCTAATTTGTGTTGTTGTTGTTTTTTAAAAAAGCCAGATTGGTTCATTCATGTTTTCAGTGTGTGGTTGCTCTTTGTTTACTGGATTCTTCACAGTTGATTCTGTGAAATCAGTTCTATTAAAAAGCATTGTGTTTGAGGCAATACTAAGCTTCTGTATTTGATGCTAAAGGACTCATTCACATAGGCAAGTCATCACTTTTATTCATCAAATGAATAAAAAGTGTACACAATTCTTATTTTACCAGTAACATCACTTTTTTCTTGACTCATGGGTACTTAGTAGTGATTTGTCATATCTCTAAAAATAGATATTGTTATAAAGCATTTAAAATTTCTTTCTCCTCTCTCCCTTTTTTTACAAGCTGGTTGACGATACAAATACAACAAGGAAAACAATGCATTATGCATTAAAACCAGGTATGATATATTTCTACTTGAAAGAGATGTTAATTTGCCATTTCCATCCGAAGAATAATTCTTAATCTCCAGTTAACTCCCAGTTAAAGTTAAAAGTTATGGGCCAGCTCTACACTGACCCTTTGCTCTGAAAGTTCTTACAGCTGTGGTCTTTCTCCATAGATCACTTGAAAATTGCTGAGGTGGACCACTTAATGATTATTCCGCCTGTTGCAGCAGTTGTAATGTGCTGTGCTTAAATGCTATATGATGTTTCATTTTATTGTAATTGCTTCTTTTTATTTCTTATATTGTATTTTGCTGCTTCCTTTATTTCTTATATTGTATTTACAGTTTGAATTCCATAGAATTCAGATTGTGTTTTTCACAGACATGCTGCAGACCACCTGAATGAAGCTTGTAGTGGTCTGCAGATCACAGTTTGGGAACCCCTGCATTACATCACAAGAAGAGGGCAGAGGCCCGCCCTCTCTCGTCAGTGCTGTACCCTGTGTAATGGGTTATCCACACAATGTTAAATAGTGCGAAGCATGTTTGAGGTTGGGTTGTTCTACAAGGTGGAGTTTGTACAGCAAGGACAGCCATTATGATGCCCTCCAGAAGTTGCTGAACTCCAGTTCCCATCAGCCATATGCAAGTAATTGGGATGATGGGAGTTGTAGTGCAGTCTAATCTTAACAGCATCCAGAGGGCACCCTGTTGGCTGCCACTGGTGTATCACCCTCTACTGTGTGCTAGTTTCCTTGGATTGATGGTGAATTCTATAATTGTGATAATTGATGGAAAGATATATAGGGTGGAGGAATTTTTGCAATAGTGCCCCCCCATACCAATTACATGGAGATGAGAGAGTGGCCCTCTATTTCTGATGCATGCACTACAGTGAACTTAATAGAAACAAACAACATACTGCAAATATATGATTTAATATAGCAGTATTGCAAAAAAAGAAGCTATTTAGTTAATGTAGGCTTGCCAGCAATGGCAGTAGGAAGATGAGATCATTAGGAATATCACAATTTGAGAAGAGCTAATTTAGTGGTTTTCCTCTACTTTTCAAAGTGCACTCCCCATGGGCTGGGCCGATAAGAGCAATAGCCATTACAGTTCCATTGGTTGTCGTCTCTGCATTTGCAACACTTTTCACAGTGATGTGCCGCAAAAAGCAGCAAGGTATGTATTTTTCCACAGGATAAATTATAAGAGGGAAATGTCTATAGCAGTGCTAACATTGGAAGGAAACATATTTGCTTCTAAAGCTGGATTCTGCTGTTAGAAGTGCTCTGGATAGCTCTGTAGATGGAGCATGTGACTCTTAATTTCGAGGTTTGAGCCCCAAAGTGGGTAAAAGATTCTTGCATTGTGGGAGGTTGAACTGCCCTGACACTTACAGATATAGGGCAGTATACAAATTTCATAAATAAAATAGATGACCCTTCCAACTCTGCAAGTCTGTGATTCTCCTTCAACCCTGTTTTGCTGCTGGAATCTCCAGCCTAACTGTAACCCTACAATGAGATTAACTTGCTCTTGCTCAGCAAACTCTAGCCTTATCTTTGGGTGGTGAGATTTCCATTCAGCAAGGGGTGACACAGCTGTGACCTTTACCCAGAGATGCAGTTTATCTACTGCAACTCCTCCAGTCAATCTTAGCAGTACTTGTAGTTTGGTATGCATCTCCTGGGTCATGTGGTCCCTTTGGGGTTGCCATATCTTGAAGAGTAAAAGGGGATAGCCTGAGCCACTGCCAGCCCGAGCCAGAGAAAGGGGCTGCCGCCATGCCCATGTGCCCCTTTCCCCGGCTTGGGCTAGCAGCAGCAGCAGCATGCAGAGCAGCCTGTGCCCAAGCCAAATAAATAAGCAAATAAATAAATCCCCCCAAACCCAAACAGTTCCTTTAAAATGTAAAAATGTCCCCTAGATGGGCATGTTGGCCCCCCAAAAGAGGATATGTCCGGGATTTCCCAGACATCTGCCTAGGTCCCTTGGCCTCAGCAATGGCTGAAGTTTGTCCAGGGGTCAGCAAGGTTTACCTTGCCTGGGCTGGTTCACTCCAGCAGAGATCCCTTCGTGAGCGTGCACGCCCATGATTTCGTGCATCTGCGCAGACACGATTTCCAGCGCCGCAAAAGCAAGTCCCCGTGCTGCGCTGTGCTGGTTTAGCACAGTTCGCGGGGACTCGCTGAGCGGGTGGCTCAGGTCAGGTACGGCTTGTGGGCTGGTTAAATGACCCCCATGGGCCACTTGTAGCCCATGGGCCTTAGTTTGCCGACCCCTGGCTTAATCCTTGGGGTGGAGGCTGGGAAAAGCTAGGGTTGCACCATCACCAGAGCCCTTCTACAGGTTGTGCCCAGAGTTAAATTGCTTGCATTGCTAGAGTTAATTTTTTTGGACTTTGCAGCTTGACACACTGGTGGTACTTTTCTAATGTTTAGGATGAGACTCTGGATTTGCGCTATATGAGCTACAGGGCTAGCCCATGGCATCTTGCTACCTGAGGTGGAACAGCAAATGCCTTTTCAAAACACCCTGAAAGCTGCCTCACGGTGTCTAATGACAGGGCCAACCCTGATCAGCTGTAGCGTGTAGAGGATGACAGTAATCTCCACCTGCAGAGAGTTGTTTGTGCATGTCTGTTAGACCCAAATGTTTCCATTAGCAGCTCTCCAGTGGCACAGTCAGTGAGCATTCATTTAACAGGCAAGCAGTAAGAACTTCCAACTATGTCGAATGGCTGAAGAGGATTTGGTTTTAAGGTGTCTGTAGTTGGAAGGGAAAATTTTGGGAAATTATTTTGGGGAAATAAGACAAATGTATCAGCTGCTAAAGTTTGAAGCTGAAGCAGGAAAAAAATGGCAGCACCTGTATGTATGTAGCTAGTAAAATCCTTTACTTTTTTTTCAATTTAGAAAATATCTATTCCCATTTAGATGAGGAGAGTTCAGAATCTTCAACCTATTCTGCTGCCCTCCATGTGGAAAGGCAACGACCTCGGCCCAAAGTGTTCATCTGCTATTCCAATAAAGATTGTCAGAAGCACATTAATGTCATCCAGTGCTTTGCCTATTTCCTCCAGGACTTCTGTGGTTGTGAGGTAAACTCTTTGTAGCTGCTGCCAGTGCTTTGCATTTACTTGTGTGGGCCTGTACAAGTTATGCAAATAGCATGAGCCTCATAATGGCTGATTCTAGAAGTTGCCTAGCCATGAAACGATTATTGGTGGACCATGCAAATTTAAAAAAAAAAAAAATACTGATGAAATGTTGGTTCCATAAAGCCCTGGAATCCTAATCCTATCTCTTAATACACTCTTGGTTCAGGCAGTCTTCATTGTAAGGGTTGGACTAGATCAGGGGTCGGCAAACTAAGGCACGCTGGCCGGATGCGGCCTTCCGGGCTTGTTAAATCTGGCCCACAAACCTTGCGGACCCTGCCACCCGCTTGGTCAGTCAGTCCCCATGCTAAACCGGCGCAGCGCGGAGACCTCGCTGTGCGGGGAATGATTTCTGTGACATGACGCGACTTCTGATTGGCTGCAGGCAGCTCCTGCAGCCAATCAGGAGCCGCTGATGCCTCTGGGTGGGTGGCGACGCTGGCGTGGCCTCCACACTGACGCCGCTTCCTCCCGCTCGGCTCTTCCCACTTGGCCACTTCCTTCTGCTCAGCTGCCTCAGCAGGAAGGAAGGGGTGGCGCCCAAAAGTGGAGGAAGCAGCCGAGAGGGAGGAAGGGGCGGCAGCGCAGAGGCTGTCTCCACCGCCCAGGCCAGCAACATGGGTTCTGTTCCGCTGGCGCTTCCTCCCACCGCTCAGCTGCCTCAGCGGGAAGGAAGAGGCGGCGCCCAGAGGTGGCTGAGCAGGAAGAGCTGGGTGTGAGAAAGTGGCAGTGGGGTGGAGGGTGTCTCCGCCGCCCAGGCCAACGGCTTGGGCTCTGCACCCCGCCAGGACAAGGGCCGCTGCCAACGCTGCTGAAGACGAGGCGGTGGTGGCATGAGTGGCGGCGGCAGAGGGTCCTTTCGCGAGGGGGGTGCTTTCGGGAGAGGGTGGGTCTGGCCCCCCACCAGGTCTGAGGGACAGTGGACTGGCCCCTTCCTGAAAAAGTCTGCTGACCCCTGGACTAGATGACCCTTAGGATCTCTTCCAACCCCATAATTCTGTTTTTCTCTCTCACTCTTTTAATATTCAAAAAATTGTACTTTAAATAGCTAGATTTGGCAAAAAGTGAGGGGGTGGAATTAGCCTGCAGGAGTCATTTAGAGTTGTCTTTGTTCAGTGTTAATCCTGTCTCTGTGAGGTTTAAATTAATTGGTGTTTGTATGAATTTAAATGCTGATTTATTTTTTGCATAGAGATTTATACAGCATGTCTGACCTCTAGTGGTCAAATCTTTGTAAAAGTCATTGCCTGTATTCTGCTTTAGTTTATTTTCAGGAGGGCTAAATCATACCCAGAGTAGACCCACTGAATTCAATATCCATTTATTTAACTAGTCTGCTCTGGGTATGACTTGGTTGGATACAAACCATATTTATTTAGAAAGGGTACCAATTTTTTTTAAAGGTACAAATTAATCCTCAAGTGCCTTAGCCCCATCCATCTGATCTTGTGTGCATGAAAATTTCACGTCAGTATTGGGGACGTTCAACACAAATACCTTTGACATATGCACTTACTGTCATGGAGCTCCAAGTGTGTATTACAGTGGCTTCTGTAATTAAGCTGCTGCTTTTTGTGCAACTAAATATCTATATTCTTGGGTGGGGGTTATAATGTAGGATTGAGGCAAGTAAACCAATCTTGCAGTTTACAGTTCATGCATCATAAACTGCATTGTGTGTGCACTGTACGTACACACACAAAAAAAACCCACACACCCCTATTATCTTGAAATTATTAAGTAAAGGTAAAGGGACCCCTGACCATTAGGTCTAGTCGTGGCCGACTCTGGGGTTGCGGCGCTCATCTCGCTTTATTGGCCGAGGGAGCCGGCGTACAGCTTCCAGGTCATATGGCCAGCATGACTAAGCCGCTTCTGGTGAACCAGAGCAGCACACGGAAACGCCGTTTACCTTTCCACCGGAGCGGTACCTATTTATCTACTTGCACTTGGACGTGCTTTCGAATTGCTAAGTTGGCAGGAGCAGGGACCGCACAATGGGAGCTCACCCCGTCGTGGGGATTCGAAGCGCCGACCTTCGGATCGGCAAGTCCTAGGCTCTGTGGTTTAACCCACAGCGCCACCCGCGTCCCTTCTTGAAATTATTACCTTTCAAAATAATAATAATCTCAAAGTGTGAACTTCTTAGACAAACCTATAATGCAGTGATGGAGAACCTGTAGCCCTCCATATGCCGTTGAACTACAACTCCCATCAGCCCTACCCAGCATGTCCAACAGTCAGGGATGATGGAAGTTGTAGTCCAGCAGCATCTTGAGAGCCACAAATTCTCCATCCCTACTTATGAAGGTCTGTGCATAAAGTCACATACAAGTTACTGAGCATAACTAATACATATTTAGTAGATGTCAGTCCATTAGATGATGGTTTTAATAATATTTTTTCTAGGTTTCTTTAGACTTATGGGAAGATCTGAGGATTTGTAAAGAAGGGCAAAAAGAGTGGCTTCATCGAAAAATCAACGAGTCCCAGTATATTATCATTGTGTGTTCCAAAGGAATGAAATACTTTGTGGAGAAAAAGAACTGGAAGCATAAGGGACCCAAGGAGAAGGATGCTGCAAAGGGAGAACTGTTTCTGGTCGCTGTAGCTATAATAGCAGAGAAGCTGCGCCATGCAAAACAGAACTCACATGACCTCTGCAAGTTCATTGCTGTCTATTTCGATTACTCCTGTGAGGGTGACGTTCCTGGTATTCTGGATTTAACTACAAAGTACAAACTCATGGATAACCTGCCTCAGCTTTACTCCCATTTACAGTCCAGAGATCTTAGCCTTCATGATTCAGAATTGTATCCTGTACACATCAGCAAAAGGAATTATTTTAGGAGCAAATCTGGGCGGTCTCTTTATGTCGCCATTTGCAACATGCACCAGTATATTGACCAGGAGCCAGACTGGTTTGAAAAGCAGTTTGTTCCCTTCCGCCCACCTCCTTTACATTACCAAGAGCCAGTGATGGAAAAATTCGACTCTGGATTGGTACTAAATGACTTAGTTGGTAAACAAGTGACTGATGGGGATTTCTTCCTGAAAGCAGATGCAAATATTGTTCTACCTTTGAATTCAGACTCTCATTGTGTGATGCAACATTTTAATCTTGGCGAGGACAGAGACTCTCAGGACATTCAGAATAGTAGCTGCATTCTTCAGCCATTGCTACATGTCGTAAAGGCTGCCAATCTCCCAGATATGCCCAGGGACTCTGGGATTTATGATTCTTCTGTTCCTTCATCTGAATTATCACTCCCTTTAATGGAAGGACTCATAGCAGACCAAATTGAAACCTGTTCCATTGCAGAGAGCGTTTCCTCATCATCAGGACTGGGTAAGATGGAACAGAGAGTGAACTACACTCAAGTTCCAGTCTAAACATTTATATAACTGGACATTTGAGTAGAATAACGCTCCTTCTTCATCTGCTGTTCAACAATATAGCACCAAATTTTAGTTGTGAGCAATGAAGAATTAGCAGGATAGTTCAGTTGGTTAGGGCATGGTGCTTGACAACACCATGTATTGGGACAACACCTGTAAGGGACAGCTGTATATTCCTGCATTGCAGGGGGTTGGACTAGATGATTATCAGGGTCCCTTCCAACTTGTATGAGTCTATGCAGTAATTAGAAAAACATATCAACAAGTAGCAGGAGATTTTGGGATGCTAGGGACCAAAAATAAACTTTAAATTCTCCACTGAATTCCATATTTACTTCAACTCCGCCCCCAGCCACCCATATAAGTTGGGTGTGGCTGTTTCTTTCTTTTAGACTTCATTCTTGCTTAAAATTTACACCGGGTTAGGCTTTTCTGTGCTGAGCTTTTCACAGACTTTTGTGCAGCTCTGATTAATCTTGTTATTGGTTTTTTCACCTATCAGAACTGCTCCCTGTGATTTTTTTACACAGAACTAGCCTTTTCACAGCTTTGGTCTACAGACAGCTTTGAATAAGTTTAGGTTTTGTATGCTACTTCTCCTTTTGTCTTACTTTATGTATCCCTCCAAAGCTCAGACCCCACCACTCCATTTTTACATATTATCCTGAACTTCCTCCTTTCCTCTCCTCTGCAACCCCTTCTGCAGAGAGTCAGAAGGACCTTCCAGAACAGATTCTGAGGGTGTGTGGGGAGAAAAAGGGGAAGTCTTGTTTCGCGAATGGAAATCCACATGTACAGAGCTGGATACAGCATTCAAAATAGAAAAAGCCATTAGGATCCTTCCCACGGGGCAGTTGGTGGTAGATCACAGGGCAGGGGAAAGAAGGATCAGGGAAAGTCTGGTCTTTTCCTGCCTTCCTTTCTTTTCCTGGAATTGTTTTGGGACTCAGAGCTTGTTTGCATGTTGTATTTTACTGTATTTTGAATTGAAGTTGAAACTAATTGGATAACTGGACATTTCCTACATTTTTCCTTGTAGGAGAAGAAGAACCTCCTTTGCTTGCTGCCACCAAATCCTTAGTGCCTGGAATATGTAAAGCAGAACTTCACTGCCATATCCGCACTGAAGAACTGCAGGCAATCGCACCTTTATAACACACTGCAAGATTGTTACGCATTGCCACTTTATCATTGACAGCCTCTGTGTATGCATTAATCTCTGCGTTATCACAGCCACTTGACTTACTTGAAGGAAAATACACTTTCCTAGCAGATTATCTGTTGCTCCCCAGGAGAGTTTATGGCCAGTATATTTTTATACATAGTTCTTTTTTAAAAAATTAAAGTATTTTCTGCTTTGATACTGTAACAGCTAAGATTTTTTTTATTAAAAAATGTTCTTGCTAGAACCAGACTCATGATCAAGTTAGATATACAGAAACTGAACATGTCTACTTTCTGAAATATGTATTTTGAAGTACAAAAATGAGTTGCCAGTAATGTCTGGCACTCTGATAATTCAGTGCATTATGTTATATATGCTTCTGGCTCTTAAATACTAAAGTACTTTCCACAAAAATAAGTCTGCAGCAGGAATTGGGGGATGGAAGGGCAGAATTCAGTGTTAAAATGCCAAAGACTACTTCTATAAAGGATAGACTTTATTAAAAAAAAAAAGAAATCTCTCATTTTTTTCGTTCATGTTTATCTGCCCCATTGTGTTTTGGTAGAAAATTAAAACATGTCACATTTTTTGCGTCTTATGTTAACCTGTGGACATATTTATGTTAATCTTTATTTTGCCATTTCAGTTTGAGAATAGTTTACATTTAAACTCAATTATGTTTACTAGTTCTCTTCAGACTTTCATTTTAGGATTATTTGTTGATTAGGGAAAATTGAATCTCTGCAAATGTTCTTAGTTGAACCTGTAAACACTAAAATGCTATGTATAGTCCAGTAAAACCATTAGGTTTTGAAGAAGGGGGGAACTATAAGCAATTGTTATAAAGCTGAACCTTTGCTTTATACAACTGACAAAGTGTCCTTAACATCATACTAAAAATCCCAGAAAATATTAATGAAGTTATGACCTCCATTTTACACTGGTGCCATGGATTTGTTACATATACTGTATAATTGTTCATGCATATATACATTATTTCCCCCATTTGTTTGGTATTTTTAAAAGACGCAAATGTATTAAGCATATACATTTTTTTAAACAAGTTGTATGTGCAGCAGCAGCACAACAACAAAAAATACAAGTGCATAAAAGTCAAATGTATGGAAAAAATCTGGATGTACATGTGAATTTAATATTCAGAGTCTTTGGAATCATTAAGCAAAGTCCATTGAGAGACAGCTTTTGCAAATTGTATTAAATGTATTGATCACAATTGCCCTAAAACTGTTTTAGTCTAAGGTAGGTTAGTGTTTAATTGCAATAACTACACCAAATTTAGTAAGCAACTCTGTTGATGTTATTCTGAAATGAAAACTTTATTGAATGGTTTAAACATGAGAGGATATTTTGCTGAAGAATCACTGCCGTAAATAATGGTATTTCTGCCCAAGGTAACTATGCTATTTTTTTAAAAAAAACTTTGCACTGCCTGCCATGGTTCATATTCTGTTGCCTGCTCCTTTCTATTTGTGTGTTAACCAGCTGGAAAGCTAGCCTGTGTATCCTGATTACTTGAAAGTTCATAAAGCAGTTGCCCCATAATACTTTTCGTTCCACAGCAATCAAGGCACTTCTGTCTGGCAGCTTTCCCTTAATTTCAAAGTAAAATGTGTTCAGTGATTTTTTTTAAAATTTAAAGACAAGTGGCAAACTTGGCAAACTAGGATAGCAAAACACATAATAAAATTTTTGAATGGAAGGTCCAGCTAGATGATGCAGCAGCTAGAACATTGGGTGCTTGCGAACAGATACAAAGAGGGTGCTTTATTCTCAACAATTAGTGTTGCCTCTGCACATGCTGTTCCTCTCAAAACACTCCCCCACCAGTTTCCCCCCCAGTTGGCTCCAAGATCAGAAGCAAACTCCACTTGGAGAGAGGGGAGTGTGAATTGGGGAAAGGGTTCAGAAAATGCCATATCTAGTTAAGTAGAGAACTCCCCCCCCCCATGTTGTTAGACTACAACAGCCCCAGCTAGGATGGCCAATTGTCAGGGATGAATGGAATTGTAGTTCAGCAACAAGTTCTTACACTTGCCCTAAATTAATTATTTGAATTCTTCAGATTTTCAATTCAGTCACAGATTTGGCAGTTTTTCCTTACAGATGTCAAGTTTTCAGACACTTGAAGGATAAATATTTTCAATTTGATGTGGTTGGCTTGTGTATTTTCAGGTGGTAAAATTTTTTTATGTGCTTGTAAGCCTGAAAGAGCAAGAAGTAAATGCCTAAGCATTGCCTATAACTGCTTTGATCTTTCTCCAGACTTCATAGTTCTCTTCTGCTGTTTCGTTTGTTCTAAATCATTTTTTCCAGAACCAGCGGTGTGAAAAAGGTGATATCGCAGCCAGCTTGCCATTCCTCTTTTGTACAGTTCTTTTATTCTGACACAGGTGATTGATAACAACCACCAATTATTTCCCCATAACCCAAAGTAGATAACTTCTTACTTAGGGACAAAGAACAGCCATAAAAATAGAGAGCATCTATATGGTGGGAAAGAAATTGCAACAGTGGTACTATAGATAACCAGCGAACTCTTCCTACAAGTTCTTATGTCAAGGCATGATAGTATACTTTATTTTTTTATAGTACTTTTAGGGGGTGGGTGCTTAACTCTCTTGCAGCCAACTACTTTTCCATTGTAACCCCCACCCAGCGTTTTTCTCTCTCCCATGGAGCCTTGAGATCAGTGTTTGTGGAGAGAAGCATGCAGGGATTTAATGACTCTCTTCTCCAAGCCTCTCTTTTCCAAAATAAAATCTCTCCCAACAACTGCTCTTGTGCATTTGCATCTAGCATCAGTGGCCAGAAAAGAAGCCCTTTTGTTAGACAGTTGTTCTGAATAGAAATGGGTCTCATCAGTAGGTAAACCATCCCACTCCCTCATGCTGTATAATAGGAAGTTGCCTGCCTTTTGCCATGGGAAGTAAACAAAAACTAATTAGCAACTTATTTTAGGTTTGCCATATTTCAAACAGTGAAAGAAAATGGAGTTTTTGGACTATTTTTAAGGGAAATAGCCAAAAACGACAATGCAGACATGGCTTGCCATACGTCTGGATTTTCCCAGACAGTTTTGAGATTTCTGCCTGGACACTGCTTCCGGCTCCAGTATTCCGGATATGTCTGGGAAATTCCGGACGTATGACAACCCTAACTTATTTTCTCTGCTGATTGAAAACAGCAGTAGGACTGAAAAAAGAAAAGCTTTGCAAGACTGTGGAGCAAACACATTTGAGACGAAGGCTAATTGCCTTTAATGTAATGTATGTGCATACTAGACATAACTTCAGTGCAAAATGGTGCATTCTCTATTCTGTTTTGGATGGTGGCTGTCAGGGCAGTTACCCACAGGTAGCAAAGAGCAAACTCAGGGGCAAAGCAAATCAGTTCAAGGATTTATTTTCTTCCCATCCTCTTTCTCCATATGCTTTGGCTTTCCCATGGGAAGAAGCTTCTCTGACTTCAGTGGGATGTACTTTTGCTTGTTGATTCTTCTAAGCAAGTCGTTCCACTCTGGCTAACTTCTCACTTACTAAATTGGTTGTTTGTTTAAAAACAATCCCAGCAAGCAAAAGACAGTCCATGAAAAGCCCAAGATTATTTCCCCACGAGATAAGTTCTCCTACAAAATATTTATCCATGCCTTTAGTTGAGTTTTGCCCTTTTACTCGTAATTATTCATCTCAGAATTGAAATTGTACCCAAGGAAATTTGACTGGTGAACTTTTGACAAAGAACAAATTGACTTGGAATTAATCTTGTGCAAGGTTCATTAAAACTTGTGGCCCTTTGTAAATTCTGCTAATTCCAATGAGACTTGCACTAGAGGAACTCGTGGTGGATTATGCCAAAAGTTGACTACTCAGCACAGAAAACAAAAGAGCTGGTCCACCCCACACACTAAACCATGACTTATCACAGTGTGTGTGAACCATAATGAACCCATGTGCGCTTCAGGCTTGCACATACACACCCTTTTGCATTGTTGGAAGGAGGAGTTTTGAAGCTTTGACTCCTGCTTTTAGTTTGTCATGTTCTCAGGATCAACAGACTACGGTTAACATTGTTGTTGTTTAGTCGTTTAGTCGTGTCCGACTCTTCGTGACCCCATGGACCAGAGCACGCCAGGCACTCCTATCTTCCACTGCCTCCCGCAGTTTGGTCAGACTCATGTTTGTAGCTTCGAGAACGCTGTCTAGCGTTAACATTAATCTATGGTTATTTTTAAAAAGGCCTTCAGAAGCAGCAGTTTGGAGTTGGCTTTTAAATACAGTTGTACCTCGGCTCCCAAATGCCTTGGGAGTTGAATGTTTTGGCTCCTGAATGATTGAAACCCGGAAGTGAGTGTTCCGGTTTTCAAACATTCTTTTGGAAGCCGAACGTTCTTTTGGGAGCTTCCTGCAGCCAATCAGAAGCCACGCTTTGGTTTCTGAACGTTTTGGTAGTCAAACAGACTTCCAAAACGGATTCTGTTCGACTTCCGAGATACGACTGTATAGCAGAGTTAATGTTAACTACAGTTTGTTGGTCCAGACAATATAACAAACTATAGCTAACTAAAAGCAGAAAGAGCACTTCCAAACTTCTCATGGCTCTCTGAGACAAGAATATAGGAGTTAGAAGTGCACAAGAGCCAGTGTGGTGTAGTGGTTAAGAGTGGTAGTCTCGTAATCTGAGGAACCGGGTTCGTGTCTCCGCTCCTCCACATGCAGCTGCTGGGTGACCTTGGACTAGTCACACTTCTTTGAAGTCTCTCAGCCCCACTCACCTCACAGAGTGTTTGTTGTGGGGGAGGAAGGGAAAGGAGAATGTTAGCCGCTTTGAGACTCCTTTGGGTTGTGATAAAGCGGGATATCAAATCCAAACTTTTCTTCTTCTACAAGTCCAAGGCTAGCTCATGCATATTCCAGGTTGTGCAGATGTGACCATTGGGTATGAGTCAGGCACTTTTAAGTTCAAGAGGAGCATGTTAAACATGTGCTTTAATGTTTACACTGAAATCAGTGGGAACTTAAATGTGTTTAACTTTTGTTTGGATTGTGCTACTTGTGTATTCAGGACTCAAATATATAATAGAGAATCTTACATAATTCTGTTATCCCACTGCAACCCAGTAAGGTTTGCGACAAAAACTCTTGTATGCCAAAAATGTTAATGTACATTTTAGGGGATAGGTTACTATTTTTTGTTGTGTTGTTGCTACAGACTGAAGTTTGTCAAATGGTAACATAATCCCTTATGTGTTCTGGGTTTTGTTTTTAGATTACACAAATGCAGAGTTACAATAATTGTTAATGTTTATAATTCTTCTTTTGTGTGTAAATTGAAAACTGCAAGATGTATCTACATGTGTCAACACTTCAGTAAATGTAGCAGTTTTCATGTTTATGTACATGAATATAAGCTCTTGACGGTAGCTGATATTTGGATAAATTTAGTTTTTATGTTGCCATATTTTAGACATTAACACCAGAATAAAATGTCATAAAGTTCATCCTGTGTTTCTTGCATTTTTAAATTAGATTTTATATGCATGTGTATTTTTTAACTATTTGATCCTTTTTTTAGCATTACAACAGGGTTTATGTTGCATACTGTTGTATCTCCTTGAAATGACATAAATAAAATACATTCTGTTGATAAACATTATTTCCTTGGCACTTGTGCAAATGAAACTTGTGCAAGTAAAATGGGAGAAAATGTTGAAGAGCTTAATAAATGCTCTCTGTATTTATGCTAATAATTACTAAGGCAAGCCCAATTCAAGCTTTGTTCCAAGTGGGTGACAAACATACTACAGCAAACAAGGTGATAAGTCATTTTTCATAATTTATCTATTTTCTTACATTTCTGTCCAACCTTTCTCACACTATGGAATCCAAGGTGGTATACGTGTGGTTTGCAGGCAGACATCCTTCCAGGCACTGACCAGAACCAGATCTGCTTAGCTTCAGCAAGGTGGTGACTTCATGAGCTTTCAGACTGTATACCCTGGGACCTTGGCAAAACTTCACTTAGTAGACTATTTATGACTTGTAATATGTCTGCTTACTGGCACACTGCAGGCATGTGTGTTTTATGCACAATTAAAGGTGCTGGGTTTTGACATGCAAAGCCCATACACCAAGCCAAAACTCAACAACCAGTGGCAGATCTGGTCTCGGCAACCTGGTTGCTGCTGAACGGAGAGGCAAAACAAATAGCAAGTTGTTCAAGTGGAGAATCCTGTCTGATGGTTCGCCTGCACCTCAGCTGAGAAAAATCAACTAGAAGGAGGGGGTGACAAGTAACAACTTATAGGGGGAACTGCAAGAAAGATCAGACCAGATCTTACTTCAGCCATGAACTCCTTTTGCAGGAGGCATTTGAAACAGAGATTGCCAGGGGAGGGTTGATGTAAACGGCAGTGGGGGTTGCATTTGGCAAGGGTTCTGTGATGAAGCAGCAGGAAGTGGGGAGAACTGCATGTGTGCTGGCTGGGAGGCTGCACACAAAGACCAGGAGGGTGACTTAGGCTTCTGGACAAATTAATGGAGGAAAAGCCCATCATGGAGGTAAAGCTTATCAGCGGCTACTAGCCACAATGGCCTTGTTCTGCCTCTGCGATTGGAAGCAGTAATGCTTTTGACTACCAGTTGCTGGACTTTCCACTCGTGATCATCTCCTTGTGGGCTTCCCATAAGTATCTGGTTAGCCACTGTGAGAACAGGATGAAGCAACAGGCTTCTCTTATGTTATTATATTTGAAAGTATCTAATATGCTACACAACAAAATCTGTCAACTCACTCATGAAAATGTGCTATTGTATGCGATCAATCTCTCTCTCCCTTCCATCCTGATTCAACTGGGTTGCTTGTTGCTAACAGTCTACATCGGGGATAGCCAACATGGTGACCTCCAGATATTATTGAACTACAGCTCCCTTCATTCCCAGCCAGCATGATCACTCATAAAGGATCATGGGAGTTGCAGGCAAACAACACATTGGTTGCCCATGGTGTACAGAATGACTTGCTGCAGTATGACTTTAACCTGGATAAAACTCTTATTTATTTGATTCACCATAGATCGTTTTTAAGGATCTACCTTTTTGTAAAGCAAATAATTAGATGTCAGGGAGTAAGGAGAGAGGCATGCAAAGTACCTGTTAGAAAGAGTTTAGGCTGTCTCCTGGGCAATGTGAATAACAAGCTGCTTCACATACCTTTCTTTGTGCCAAAAGCTCCATTTTCCAGATGTCCAAAATCCCAGTTTGTATTTTTTACTATCCAACAGTGAATCAGAATGAAGTTAATGTAAAGTCTACTACATCCCGAAAAGTTTGAGACAACCATTATGATGGCACGTCAGTCAAAGCATGAACTAAACTAAACTATTAGGGGTTTGATTTACTCTTATTATTAACAATGAGGTTCGGTCTATCCACTTGGGGGCTGGAATGGTGGCTGGCTGTTTATTTCTTTGTTCTCATATAGATGTTGCAAGCCAGCTTCTCTTTGGTGTTGGAAAGCAATACTGAATGTGGTCTTTGAGCTGCTCTTCAGGTTTCTTTCATTTTTATTTTCATGCACACTTTCATTTTCACCAAGCCTTCTGAACAAACTAAGTGGAGCTGCTTTTTGGTGTCTGTGACTAACAGGGTGTGTGTTTTAAATCCAGTCTCGGGTCTCCTCCAGTGTCTTGGCCTCCTTCCACCCTGGGCTGAAAACTGTGTATTGGGGTGAGCCAAGTCTCTCCCTCCCACATGTATTATAGTCCTATGCTTTGAAAGCCTACAGTGCAAAATGGAAGTATGTTGGAGTTAGGATGGAAGACAGGGCAAGAGAAAAGTAATGGGATGGATATTTGTTAATGAATTAAAATTAGAACTAAAACTGGACAGACCTTGGGTATCCTCTGCCTTGCATTGCTTTCTGATTAAGTAACCTGCCTGGCGAGGCCCAGGGGCCCACCATTCCACTTAGATAATAAACACACGGACACAAATATTTTGAGTTAATGGGCTATATGGGATGCGGGTGGCACTGTGGGTTAAACCACAGAGCCTAGGGCTTGCCGTTGGCGGTTCAAATCCCCGTGACGGGGTGAGCTCCCGTTGCTCGGTCCCAACTCCTGCCCACCTAGCAGTTCAAAAGCACGTCAAAGTGTAAGTAGATAAATAGGTACCGCTCCAGCAGGAAGGTAAACGGCATTTCCATGCGCTGCTCTGGTTCGCCAGAAGCGGCTTAGTTGTGCTGGCTACATGACCCGGAAGCTGTACACCGGCTCCCTCAGCCAGTAAAGCTAGATAAGCGCCGCAATCACAGAGTCGTCTGTGACTGGACCTAATGGTCAGGGGTCCCTTTACCTAATGGGATAAATAAGGCCACAGCTTTATTGGTTACAGATGTGAGTGGTTTGGATTAGACATTCGTTGAAACCAATTATATCCTGACTCCTGCATGCCTGCAGGAAGTCTCTTATAGGTCAACTGCAGGAAGTCTCTTAAGGGTCAACCACCGATAGGGGGAGCCGTATGACATAAGTAAATTAAGAGCATTCCCCAGGGTCCCCGATGGGGTTGTGGCATGGCCCTGACCCACACCCAGGCTTCAAACAGGATCCACACACCCCTTTATTGGGATACCCTTAACGAGGAGAGGCAGTTGGAGGCAATAACCTCCCCTTTCATGAACCAGGCTTACCCAATGCCTAACCGCCTGCAGCGGTCACGCCCCCTGGATCACCTGATTGGTCAGCCAGAGGGCATGACGTAGCTTAGAGTCTCGATGATGCACAGGAAGGTCATGGATGCCCGCCCACAACTCCAACCCCCTGGGAAGGGGAGTGGTCTTCCCACCATGTTGCTCAGGATATTTGCCTCCCATCTTTTGACTTAGAAAACTGCTACCCTGTTCAGAGCAAGCTGACAATGCTTTTAGCAGCCAAGTGACTTGAGATATGTCTGTCTACAGGGGCAGGGTTGGAACCTGTATGCAAAGCAGATATTCTCCTACAGAGCAATGGGATTTACTTCAAAGTTAATATTGTTATAGATGGGGGGTGTCCCCCTAAACCCTAGGAATGAATAATGCTAGGATTTTGATTAATTGGGATATGGATTAAAACATAAACTGCAGAGTTGTGCTAGACAGGGAATTCCTGGGTTGGCTTGTGCCAGCAAACCAACCAGGCTGAGCCAGAGAAACAATAGAGGGCCATTAACTTCTTCCCCCAGGTGTGAACAGAGACTGGGGATTTGGGAGGTTGCCAGGGTAACTGGTCTGGGGGAAGGCAAGGGGTTTCTGAGAGGAAGAAAGGAGAGGAGCTAGGATCCATCTTTGAGGGAGGCAGACTGAAGGTTGCCTGCACTGCCGCTTCTGGAAATGTATAAGCTGTAAGATCTGGACTCCCTTCGTGCAGACTGAAGGTGTAAATAGGTGAATAAACCATATTTCTTAAAGCATGACAGTCTCTGCCATGCCTTCTATTCTCCAAAGGGACACAGACCTTGTGTGTGTGCCTGGGACCCCATGGGCTCTTGCCACCGCTTGGCAAAGAAAGGGACAGGCACCCAACTTTTGTAACAATATATTTAGGATTGCACTGTTGAGAACCTGTGAATGTTCCAGTAAAACCACATTGGTCATGAAAGAAGGAAGCTGGCTGCTTGTTATTATAGTCTTTGCAAACATGCCAAGGTGTTGCAGGAGGAGTTGGTTTAAAAGGAAGCCACAGTGTATATTTAGGGTAACGCTTGTATACTGCACAGTAATTAGGGATGGAGATGAAGCAAGTGTTGAACTGAAACCATAAAGAATGAACTGTCTATTGTATTCATAATGCATTTCTGAATGTTGCATTGCACTTGTGTCTGTGTGAAGAAATGTTTACTTAATAAATTATTATTTCTATCCTAATTCTCTGCATGGTACGTAATGGTGGCTTATAAACATATATTTTAAATAGGAGCAACAATCATAACTACCACAGACCTCTATCTTCCTAGTTAACCTTAACACTCTCTTCAGTCCTCCAGGGATTCTTTTAGGATTGTTCATTCAGCAGAACTTCCAAAAATATAGCTCTTGATCTTTTCCTAGATCTCCTCCTTACTGCTTAACTTGTGATTATGGGCAATCACCAAAGCAGTTATTGAGGGATTTCAGTCATTTACTTTTTAACTTCTAAAGCCAGACTTTTCCATTTAAAAACCTTTCTGGGTACTTTTTAGACCCTGGGCACTACTGGTTTTATGCTGCTTTATTCTGAGGATAATGATGTTTTAGCTGGTGTTTTCATTTTAGGTTATATTTCTAATTTGTACCCTGCCCAGAGAATTTATTGTTAAGGAGCAAGATAAACTGCTCAATAAATAAATATGTAGCTTTAAGGATAGAACATTTTGGAAATAAAGACTAAGTCAGTATAGTGTGACAGCTAAGGCTGCAGTCATAACTCTCACTGAATTTAGCAAGAGTCTGAGTAAAGTTAGGGCAAGTCAGCAAAGTATTAGTTTGGCGATTCTTATTGTGGTCTAACTAAAGCCACTGTTATCTCTGCAATATGAGGGTGATGGCATTAACCTACCTTAAAGCAGACTAGCTCTGTCAAATTACATGTTTATCCTACCTGTCTTCCACAGTCTTCAAAGGCATTATCATTAAGACTCCCAGGCAATTCCCCATCTGATCAGACTTACACTTACTAGCTTTAGCAAGGTTGCACCATCACACATATCCAGACCATGTCTTGCTTTAAGGATTATGGAGAAATATGAATATTATTTAAATTACCTTAAGACCTATACAAATGCTAAGTGTTTTATATAAACCTTTCAGGGACAGTAATTGTTGATGTCTTTGCTTTCAACTAAAAATGGGGTAAACATACTACATATTAGCTTTTGATTATTTTTTTTTAATAAAATGTAAGGCAGATTTATAGCCCAATCATACTGTGAGGGCTTTCTCAGTTGCCATGCCTAGATTATGGAACATATTGTCCCAAGGTTAGCTCTCTCCTGCTCTGTATCTCATTGTTTACTAAAAACCTTTGAATTCCAGCAGGCTTTGTTGTGTGTGGCAGAGAATTCGCTTTTTAGGGAAGTTTTTAATGTTTGATGTTTTATTCTGTTTAATATTCTGTTGGGAGCCCCCCAGAGTGGCTGGGGAAACCCACCCAGATGGGCGGGGTATAAATAAATTATTATTATTATTATTATTATTAGTTTCTATGCTTGGTTTTAACTGTTGAGCCAGTATCCTTGGTTGTTTTAAATTGTTGTTTTTATGAAATTGTAACTTTAAACATTGTAAGCCACCCTAGGCGTTGCTTTTGCATCAGTTAAATAAAAGTTTGCCTGGAAGTCTTACTGCATTAAGTGAATCTATAAGGAAAGAATTATGGGACGAGGCTGCTTGTTCCAGTAACGGGCAGAAAAAAAGTTGACCAGATGGTTCAATGTGGAAAATTCAGCCAATTCTATTCAACCTACTTGCTCTTGTTTCCTGGTTTATAATTCCCAGCTTTCAAAATTTGCTTGCCTAACCTTCTTATTTCCTGAAGCTTTATTTCCTTACAGAAGCTGCACTGTCAGCATTCTAATGCTAACAACTTCATCCTGAACAACTGAAATGTTCACAAACCTTCCATGACATCGCTGCAGTTTAGCCAATGGGTGGAGTAGTGGTGAGGGAGAGAGCTCATGGCTGACACACTTTGAAAAGTTTTTCATTATGCAGATAAGTGCATGCAACTCAATTTATTTGTTGGCATGCCCGAACGCAGCACATGCAGCCACCACTTGAAAGTACAAAGAAAGGACTGAAATATGCAACGAGGCAAAACTATTAACCATTTAGCTTTGTAAATATAGTAGAATCATTCGTAGCAAGTTTGTGGTGTCAACAGGGCTGAACCTTTTAAACTTTCTGCTGCATCTGTCTCTCAAGTTTGGGCATGTTTGAATCAGATCTCCCTTTCAAAGGTAGGCTGGCACATTGCACTTTCTCCAGCCGTGTAGTTTTGCCCTTAACAGTGCATCTCTGTGGGAGGAAAGGAGCGTACTTTTCATACTGACCCGCTTTTAACACCTTCTGAAATACAGCTTGGAGAAATCCCTGGTTTCGTGAGCATTGCTCCCACTTGGTTCCAGAACCTCTGCTCCAGCCTTATTCAAAACCACGGAACTTTTAAGAAAAGCAGAGGTTAGAAACACACCAAAAGACCTCAGCTTCAGGGCATATTTCCCCCTGGCACTAATAAATAAGACGGCGACCCCCACCCGCCCGATTTTGAGACGAGGCAGAAGGGCTCTGGGAAGCTCAAGGCGCGACTTCCGTGTTCGCGGGAACCGCCCCCTTTTCCAGAAACCCAACTCCGACACGGAGGGATATTCCCGTTACCCCACGAGGAACTCTTCCCGAGAGGGGAAAACCTTTTCGGTTGACCGAACCGACGCAATGCTGAGGCCAAAAGAGAGCGGAATACAGGCCCCAACAACAGCGGCTGGGGGGGGGGGAAGCGCTCCCCGTCACGTCTGAACGCTCTAACCTCGAGTGCCCGCGCTGGCCCGGGGCCCCGACTCGCGGTTAGCGAGCTTAAGAGGCGTGAGGCGAAGAAGCGAGCGTTTCTGCTCGTGGCCGCCGTCGCGGCTGTTTCAAACGTGAGGCGGGCGCTGCGCGCCAGGAGCCGAGCCAAGGGGGCGGGGCCTCGTGTGTGAACTGAGGGAGCCGCGGCAGCGGCGGCGGGTGAAGTTAGCAGATTTATTTTCATTCCCCCCCCCCTTCTCTCCCTATTTTTGCGGCCGCCCTGTCAGGAGTCCCCCTCACCCCCGGCTCCGCGCGGCTGCCTGACAGGGGGCTGGAAGCCACTCCTGCCGCCTCCTCGCTTTCCCATTAGCAGCTCCCGCCCACCGGGCCGGGGCCTGACCGACCGACTGACAGACCCGCTTCTCCTTTCTTTCCGAGCTGGTGGGGAAGCGGCGCCCCTCGCGCGGCACCTCGCGCGGCCCCGCGCCTCAGTTGCCAGGTCGGTCTGCCGGTAGCTCCCGCCTCCCCTCCTCCGGAGCTTCCCATGCAGGGCGCTGACGAAGAGGAGCCGCCAAGCGCCAGGTAAGGGACCCCGTGCGCCGCCTGCCAGAAGCAACAGGCTGTGCGGGGTCGGGGAGACGGTTCCTTCGCAGAAGTTTATTTGAACCGAGAGAGAGAGCAGAGCTTTGGGCTTCGAGAGTGGGGCGGGGACGCCGCCTGTCAAGTCGAAACTCAAAAAAAAAAAAAAAGATCAGGGTTTTTTGTTGTTTTTGCTCAGCTTGAGCTGAGGGAACTTCGCTGGCACTGGAAAGACCAAAACAAAAGCAGCAACCCGCCCAGAGCGTTTCCAGAAGCGGCGCCCCCCCCCAGAGGCGACGTCTTGTTCTCGGAAACCCCCAATCATGTGCCGAGGACGGAAGGTTTAAAAGATTCACACTGGCAAGGGGAGATCCTCCCCCCCAACCCCTCTTGCTTTTTTATTGTGAATGCAGAAAACACCCGTTATGGGCTGAAGAGAGGGAGGCTATATAGTATCTGGCGATCGCCAAATGGTTTGGCTAAGAAGTGACAGAGCTGGGCATCTTCCTGCTTGCAGATTGCGGGGGGGGGGGGGTTTACCTCCATCAGGAACTGCTCGGAGTGCCGGCAAATTCCTGACGAGTTATCCCCATTAGTCACCAGCTGTAGGATGATAAGAAGCGTCCTTTCCCCCCTTTTCTGATAAAAGTAGGCTGTTGTCCACGAAGGCTTTCGGTAAATCAGATGAGTTTATTTTTAACAGGCGCTGCTGCAGGTTTGCCTAGTTTATCCTCTCGTTTGCTCCTTGATGAGTTATAGAACTGTAGAGTTGGAAGGGACACCTGAGGGTCATCTAGTCCAACCCTCTGCAACGCAGGAATCTCAACTGTCACACATGAGAGATGGCCATCCAGCCTCTGCTTGAAAATCTCCAAGGAGAGTCCACCACCTCTTGCTCTTTTACTATTTTGCACTGGCTAAGCATGTCAGATAAAAAAAAGAAAAGAACTTAAGTACAGTAATGGCATGGCTGAATGCTTAGTACAGGAATGGGGGGGAAATAGGGGCTGGTTGACATGAAGAATGTCTTCATGTGATCCAGTTCCATGATCATTATGACAGCATGAATATGACAGACCGAGAGACATGTTGACAGGCTATGTTGTGGTATATGTGTAGAGCTTCATGTCAACAGTTGTGGTTCCCAGAACAAGTAACAAGGCTTCAGATTTGCCTGTACTTGGTCATGCAACATCACAGCTGCGGAATGTATAGTGTGAAGTAGCCGTTAGAGCAGAGATGGAGAATCTGTTGGACTGCAACTCCCATCATTCATGACCTTTGGCCATACTGGCTAGGACTGATGGGAACTGAAGTCTAACAGCATCCGAAGGGCCAGAGGTTCCCCATCCCTGCATTAGAGGCAGCCTTAAAGTAATATATCTTTTATGTTAGTGGTTTTTACAATTAAATGGTATAAAATTTCAGCTGTACAATTCTATGATTCTATGAAATTCTCTTTAAAAAAATAAGACTCAAATTGACTTGCTATCTGACTTTCAAAAGAACTTGTTTAATTAAGCATTTTTCTTAACCTGCCTTAGAAATATTTGAAAAGTGACAGTAAAGTACATTTCACACTTCCTAAAGACTCAGTTGATTTACAGTACTTTGTCTTATATCGGAAGAATAGAAATTGGACCTTCAGGTGGTGAAATCAAGTGGACTGTTCCTGCAAGTTAGTTTGTATTGGCGTGTACTTTCACTTGAAAGCAGATTGAAAGTTTACATCGATACTTAAATGATACAGCTCTGTCATCTTTTTAAGATGACACAAGCTGTAGTGACTTATGGTAGGTGTGGCAGACATATACTTGCAATATTTTGTTGATGAGCATCTTATTATCTAATAAAGTGGATCTGTAGTGACATGTCTTGGTTCAAGACTTCTGTACTGAACTGCCATGTCTTGAATACTGAAATAATATGTTTCAATATTCCTATCTGTTGTTGCTAATATATGCAAATATTAAAGGAAGGATCTAAATCTTGAGCGCAGTGAGACTCTGGGACAGCACATACACTAAAATAGTTGAACTTCTACTATATCTGGACCTCCCCTGTTTTAATCAGGACTGCAAAGTTTAAGTGCTCAACAGCTATAATTACTAGGAAAATAACCTCCCCTTCGACATTTACCTTAGAAAAAAGCTCCTATTGGTGCCATTGAAAATCACCCCAGTGCTTAGTATTAATCTTGCTGAGAAACGCTGATGATTCTGCACACTCCACATTTAATTTAAAGTGTAGTTAGGCCCAGAGAAACAAAGTACTAACATTCCCAAGTACATGCTGAGAAATGCAGAAATGCAAAACATGTTTTTAAGGAAACCTAAAGAGGGGAAGAAAATAGCCCAATGAGGACTGAACATGCTTAGTGACCTTCAGGAGCCCTTTAAATCTTACAGTATCCTGGTGTAGGAAATGGTTCCCTGGCTGCCTGGCACCCTGAACATGGGTGTTTCTATTGAGGTGAGGAGGATATATTGAAACAATTTGTTGCAGGACTCACTTGGGAGAACATAGTAGGAGCTTCATAATGGATTTATCTTTAGAGACAGGAGCACGTGCTCCCCACTGCAGAGGAAAGTGAGGGGCATATTACGCTCATCAAGCCTATCTGGGAGTAGGAAAACTATTGCTGACATTTATTAATAAGAAATAAAAAGGAAAATTAATTATATTGGGGTCAGAAGATTGGGAAAAGATCGCCTAATCGAAAATAGATCTGTTGGGTCTCATTCTAGAGTCTTTTATGTAACTGAGAGATGGAAAATCACAAGTCATTTTTATTTCTCTTCTCTTCCTTGGGTCTTTTTCTTTTCTCTTCTCTCTTTGCTTTAGTTTTTAATTTAGATTGGTTTCTCTTATTTTGTTGCATTGTGGACAGAAAGCTTTAAGGAAATCTTAATAAACGCTCATCGTATCTTCCCTGCCTTGAGCCCCTTAAAAAGCCACTTGAGATACATGGTTTCTTGAACAATGATGGCTGATGTTATCCTTTGGGGAGGGTGACCTACTCGTGAGTAAAGACGGTGGAGGTCAGCTGTCTGCCAGAGATTGCAGAACTAAGAAGACAAAAGACAAAGGAAGGGGAAGAGAGCAGAGGGAATGAAAAGCTGCAGAAGAAAGAGCGAGAGATTGGGAAAGAAAAAGGAGACCAGGCCTTCGACTGCTTGGGCACAAGAGCAGAGCAGAGTCACGACGCACATGGCAAATTTCCAGGATGGTTGCTTTCCAGGTGTGTTTTTTTCTTTAATTTTTTTTGGGGGGCCCCAAGAGAGTGGGGCCCAAAGCTATAGCTTGTTTAGCTTATACATAAATCCGGCACTGGTCTGGACACACATGACAAATTTCCAGGATCGTTGCTTTTCAGAGTTTGCCTAGAACAGCTTTTACCCCCCTGGGAATATTTTAAACCCTTAAAGGCACGTCTGCAGCTCAGCTGCCGTCATTCATCTTGCCTGTTTAAAAGGCTTTTAGGGCCGTCATTTTTTAAAAAGGGCCAAACCCTCTCTCTCTAAGCAGCTTTCCGGAATTCAAACACGATGCAACCACAGATAGAAAATCCATAGCCATAATTGACACAATTACCTTCCCTGGAGACGGTGGACGCAACGTGAGTGGCTCGGCCGCCGAGGTCGCTGAGGACGCTGTCGACGGTCTGGTGGTGCTTCAGAAACCAGGGGCAGATGACATTGCAGTAGAGGACCTGGGAGCCGTTCCACGAGATGGGAGCCATGCACCACAGCAGGAAGAGACACTGCCGGGCAGGGGAAAGGAGGGCAGCTCAGCATCAAAAAGAAGGGTGCTGCAACAAGGGGTGGCAGCGCATCACCACCAGCCACAGGCGTGCACTTCGAGGGGCCCAGCCACATATACACTTTCCCAGGATACTCCATTTCCATTCCCACTGCTTTACCTGGGAACGTGGGCATCTGAGCTGGCCAGGCCTCCCCAGCCATTATGGGCAGCTTCCAACAGGATATTGAAAACACAATAAAACATCAAACATTAAAAACTTCCCTAAACAGGGCTCCCTCTCTCCCCCCCCTTCTCTCTCTCTCTCTGTGTGTGTGTTACCTTATGAATATTTTAATTTTGTAGTTGTAATGCTGTAATCATGTTGCTAATCCTTTGTTTGTGTATTGCCCTGGGCTCTGGTCAAAGAAGGGTGAGTCATAAATACAATAAATAATAATAATAATAATAATAATAATAATAATAATGGTGAACACAGTCTTATATACTTCTTCAGGTTTGCACAAAAATGTCACACAGGTGATGCCTATTGCATTTCCTGTCCTTTTGGCAGCACTTCTATGGTTAGCACTTTGTGTAAATGATTGAAGTGGATTCTAGTCCAGAAAAGCTTATGCCACAGTAAGGGAGAAATCCAAAACCAAGATCTGCCGGGATGAGTGGAGTTTGGAATAGGTGGATCTCTGGTTGTCGCTCATCAGCTGGACACCTCAGCTCAGCTGGACACCTCAACTCCGCCATCCTGGCTCACCTGAAGCTGACTGAGCCAAGGCCAGGATAGGTCCCGAAGAAGTGGTGTTCTGGGGCCTTGGCAGGGTTGGTACACGGTATAGGAACTTACCCCTATTCCAAACTCAATTCAGCTTGGCCACGTAACCTAGCAACCCAGCAGAATTTACACTGGCAGAAAAGGTAGTGTAAGTCAAACTCTGTTTTAAACGCTTGTTTTCCCTCTGCCAGGCTTAGATCGTTTTAAAATAATTATTTATTAAATTAATATCCTGCCATTATTCACAAAGTATCCCAGCTGCTAAATAGGGATAAATTACACTAATATAATTTACCCATGGGTAATTTACACTGGCTTCTTATAGTCTGGATTTCTCTGTCAATCTGTTAGTTTTTAA